AGTTCTCACCATGAATTTTTGCACACTGATGGGGAAAGTGGCAGAGTAAAGCAGGATCTGACGTTCCTTTGGCAAGAAGCTGATAATATCTTCAATCAGGACCACAAAGTCCTGGGACAGCAGTTTATCTGCCTGAATAAAATACATATTCAAAGAAATACTGTTTAGAAACACAGTCAACATTACTGATATGGGAAATCAGAAATTAAGAGCCAAACCCACCTCATCCATCACCATCATTTGGGCTTTATCCACTTTTGCCACACCCTTCTTCATCAGGTCTAGTATCCTGCCTGGCGTAGCAATGACTACATGCACTATTAGGAGAGGAGGAGGTACAAACAGCACATCACAACAAGTTCCACATAACTTTCCAGAGAAGCTGCACAAAGTACAATGTTAAACTAAGGTCAACAGAAGGGTCTGTCATTCAGCAACAAATCCTTCAAAATGTCAGAGGGACAAGATAAAAGAAACACATCATGACACTACACTAGACAGTAGCTTCTAGGAAAAAACATTGACAATCTTCTCTATGGAAACATCCCTTTTCATTATAAATATTAACAGCACAAGTAGTACCTATCTCATCAAGACGCATGATGTCATCCCTCAAGTTGGTGCCACCTGTGGTAGCCATGACCTTGACCCCTCCAAGGTGCTTGCTGATCTGAATGCTGATCTGGCTCACCTGTAGGGCCAACTCTCTAGTTGGCACCATTACTATGGCTGGATTGAGACAGAAATGGGAAGGGCTGATGAAATGCAAGGGTTGGTGAGATGCATGGAAAAAATCCAATAAAGTGATGCTCACAAAAAAATTTAACTTTATATAAAGACCAAAAACCCTGTTCAACAGTAGATAGAAATGGGTATGGGGTAGAACAGGGCAGTGGTCATGGACTCCTTATGCTCCACAGATTGTGGACACAAATAAATGCGTGTCAAAGGTGCTATAGTCTTGTTAAGCAAGATGAGATTCTGTTGAGTTTTATTGGGATTACACTTTGACAACTAGTTGAAATTATTACATTACGGCTTTCTTTCACATTCTGCTTCAGTTTAAAACAAGGTTTTAAATAATTTACTGTACAACTTTAAGAATAATATAAACTTCAAAATCAAGGCATCGACACAGGTATATCTTAGGGATACACCAATAGGGAATTTCTGGGCCAATCACAATGTTAAAAATAACAAACCCAACGATAGCCGATGCAAGTGTTTCATGTTCTTATTAATCTGTCCTTTTGTGCTAAGGAAACAAAGAAAACTACAGCGATAAGCATTTCTGCCTATTTACAGTTCAGTCTAGTTCTCTTCTTATCCAAGATGTGAGATGCCAACACAACATTTAGCCAGTGCAAAACTGACAACACAACAGATAAACATCGGTGAACAACATCTTATTTGCCAATACGCCAATGTCAGTCAACTGGTGAATCCCTAGAATATATTTCAATGCACCAAAAATTTACACCATCGGACAGAAGACAGCAGAAACTCACCCTGGATGTGATCCTTCTTCAGGTCTATTCTTTCCAGGAGAGGTATGAGGTAGGCTCCACTTTTTCCTGTGCCATTCTTGGCACGAGCCAGAATATCTCGGCCTGACAAAGCGATGGGGATGCTTTCCTCCTTTTGGCAGGAAATAAGGTAAACAATCATGAAGTTAACATACTGGAAAGACTTCCCTACTCCTGACCCATTAGGGCTGCAACACAACAGTACTTACAACAGGGAAGCGGATATAACTGCAATAAAACCAGACTAAAATTGTGCATTTTTTTTAGCGAAAAGGGAGATGAAATGTGTGTTTTGTTAGTGGACCGAAACCCTGCAGACCAAGAGCAGGGGCAGGAGTGGGCTGTTGAAGTGGGAGTGATGGGATCCTGTGGCTGGCTAGGGGGTGCTGCAAAACTAGCCCCAAATTGTGCTCCATTGGCATGCACATGCAAGAGTAAGAAATTAAGGGGTAGTACAGTCAAGAGTCTTCAGAGAGGAGGATGATATGTAATGCAGATGGGAATAACTGGATAATTTTGGCGAGTGAAATGTGGAAACATGGACTGAAGTAGCAAAGCACTGTTCTGGGTATTGGTGATTGCAGTTAATTTTGATTCATAAGAAAAGCATTTTTTTTTAAAGTCCTGCTCACTTTACTTAAACAAGAGGTCCTTCTGTTCTAATGGCTTGACTCACCTGGATAGGAGAGGGTTTCTCCCATCCCATTTCAAAGATTCCCATTAGAAGTTCCCTCTTTAGGCAGTAGTCTTCAAATTCATTTCCCTTAGTTGATGTCACATCCTGAGCAGAGCAGAAACATGTGAGATTACGGTTTAATATAATCCAGAGGTTGACGTGACAGCATAAGCCAACACTCACATTTCAAATTCAACAGAAAATGTGGGAAGTCTCTCAGAATTACCAACATCTTAATAATTATGTTTGCTATAATGAAAAGTTGCCTTACCGACGTTTTCATCCGGGTATCTTTTGGAGGAAGCTCCAGGCACTTCTTCCAGTCATCGCCAAACCTTATAAATTGTAAGAATTTGTACTGTTAAATAAATAGCAATATTGCATACAAAAAGGAGGGTAATGAAATATATTGAAACCCAAACCCAAGTTGTTGTTTTTTTTCAACCACAAAAAATGTTTTCATTTATATCAAAGTGGGGGGAGGCGAGAGAAATACTTTTTAGAAGCTTTGTTCTCTGGGAAGGGATCACAGCCTGCAGATTCTTGTATCCAGTGTAAGCAGTATCGTACTGAAGTAATTAACAGATACAAAAACAAACATTTCTTTCTACTCAGAAGTTAGCGAACACATGGAACCAGTGACTTACTTGATGCCACCACTGCTTTGAGGAATGCTCATGGTCATTTTCTGGGGGGCACTGGGATGTTGAGCAGTTGCAAAGAGTCCTGACTGTTGTCCGGCTGGCTTATTCTGTCCTCTGAACTGCCCATTTGGTTTGTTCAATCCAATCATTGGTGCTGGGTTTGCTGTTCTTGCTGTAGCCATGGGTTCACCACCTTAGCTGGCAATTTTCCTCAGTGTATGTTATAGTTATATTTGCGTCCTTTTCACTGCTCTGTTTCACTTAATGCACTTGTGTGTAACAAAATAGTAAAAGCTGAAAAAATAAAACTTTTTCTCGTATCGTTGCTTTTTAAAGAATGTATTGTGTATACAATCTGACGTTCAGACCTCTTGAAAAGAAGAGGTCTGCGTATGAATTCTGTCTATTTACAAGACAACTCTCCAAAAAGGGAGAAATTAACATTCATATGAATAAATAAATCAAATGTGACCAAAACCTATTTTTCTGTCAGAAATGTTTTTCAGAGTACTGTCATCCTTGCTGTAACGATGACCCAGAATTTTCTTTGTGTTCTTAGAGTAGCTTGGATTTTTAAGTCCAAGTGCTATGTTTTTTACATTCAAAATGGTGCGTAGCAAAATATGATGTACTTGGTCACGTCTCAGACTATTCTTATGATTTGTTTCTTTGACATCAAGTCTTCAAACGTCTTTGCTGAGGCTTAATACTGGCTCAAGAAAGTAACTCCTGCAATCTTTTTTTTTTTTTTTTTAAACATAGACAGTCCACTTTAAATGTCTGCTGTTATCTATCTTGTTCCAGTTTCCATTACTTCTGCAGCAAAAGTTGAGATGGCAGTCTGCAAAGTGCTTTCAGAATTGCAGATCAACAAAAAATCCAGGTTACCTGCCAGACAATAAACAGTAGTGGGTTGATATTTTAGAGCAATGACGAGTCAAAAAAACAGGACTTAACAGTGACCAAACTAACATTACTCAAAAAAAAAAAACAAAAAAAAACACATCACTGGAGACCAATAACATACATTTTAGATGTGTGCATTAGCAATGGCTCTCTTTTACCACCTTGACTCATTCAGCAAAACCATTAAATATCAGCAACAACTAACATTTAAAAAAACAACTTAATTTTAAAAAGTTAACTGAACCGATAAAAAAAAACCTCCAACCACGTAACTAAGGTTAGCAAAATTAAAATGTCGAAAATTGCGGAGACATCAGCTTCATATTGAAATGAAATGACAAATAATACATTTGCTAGTGCGCCTTTGTTGTGATGCCAGCGGTGAGAGCTAACCTAATGCTAACGCAATAAACAGTGGTAAGCTAAAAATTCAACGGACAAACCAAGTTACGTTCAAAGTTAGCAACCGGGCGTTTTAACCTTGTAAACATAAGACAAGCGTAAAACCCAACCATCCGGTTATTTGTCCTGTCTCTTCTTTCGCGAACACTCCGTCGTCACCGATCGATAATTTAGCAAAGTTAGCTTGAAGAAGTTAATTAGCACCGCCTGAAAGCTGCGTTAAAACTTTTCATGCATAGCAACGTGGCTGCCATCCAGCTAGCACGCTAGCGTCCACGTTAGGTCTTGTTTCTGCTTGCGAGAGCAACCCCGGTTTTAAACCCGTATCGATAAACGACGCGCAAAACACATAATCTGTCTGGATCTAACTCAATTCGCACCTGCTACTTCAACACTTTTTTAATTCAACCTGACCAAACGACTACGTTAGCATGCTAGTGTTAGCTTCGCCACTGTGCGTTAACACCAACGCTGCTGTTAATCAATACGCTTGAGAAATTACTTCTTTTTTTTTCTTCTTCTTTTTTTTTGTTTGTTACCCAGCTGGAGAAAAGATGCTAGCTACCTTCACTTTGCTACATCCACCCAAAGTCGTCCCTGTTGTGTCGTTGCTTATCGACAGTTTAATTAAGTTGAGTAAATACTCGCTGTTTCTAGAAATCCACCGAGTTGTCACTCTTTTGTCTCTTCTTTCACAATCTCGGCAATTCAACATGGCCGCGCGTTCGTTTTTGGGCTGGTTGTTTGCTCCGAAGGACCTCCCACCGACCAATCACAGCACTGCTTTCAAATTCGCAAAGGCTCACACTGTGGGATCAGCGGACAACAAAACAAGACAAAAGTGAATCTGTTGGACACGTTTTTTTATACACACATATATATATATAAAAATATCTACAACTATTGACACTGATAAAATGATAAAATAAACACACAGGCATGTGTGGAGAGCCTTTCCAGTGAGCCAACATACACAACAGCAGCAGCCTGACTCTGACCTGAATAGAACATAACCTTTATTAGCATCACTGGTAACACCTGTTTTTACTGCACACTTTCATGTCAAAATGGCTGCTGTGAAAAAGGTCTACATTAAGCAGGTCAAGTTACATTGTCAAGCCTTACAGTAAGCAGACTCAATTCAATTTTAAAAAAGGGTGTTGAGTCAGAGTGAGAACATTTGTTTCATGTAATCCCTCATGTCTCTTTATCTCTGTCTCTCCCTTTGTTACTACCATCTCTCTGTTGTCTTCTACCAAAATGTAAAGGCCAAAATACTTTTGAAAATGGACTCTGAGCTCACTGAGCTTAGCTCTCTGTCCGTCCTTTACAGACATCTCAAAACAGTTCTTTGTGGTAGCTCACCTGGTAGAGCTAGCACCCCATGTACCAAGGCTTAGTCCTTTCTGCAGCGGCCATGAGTTTGGATCCGACCTGTGGCCCCTTGCTGCATGTTATTGCTTCTCACTCCCCCCTTTCCTGTCACTCTACAGCTGTCGCAATCGATTAAAGGCAATGAAAGCCCCCCCCCCCCCCAAAAAAAACAAGAGAAACAATAACAGTTGATTGAACATTGATTGTTCATTGTTCTTGATTGGCAGGCAGTGGCACATTTCTGTTGCAGCATGTGGAAAAATCCTGGTGATCACTGCAGCAGGATTAGGGGATTGCACACAACAGCAGCTGGATGAGCAGGGAGGTTGTAGGGTTTCAGTCCAGGCATCAGGAGGGACACCAATGATGATTGTCTTTTGTCATGGACTCCAGAAAAACAAGGCCAGCTTGTAGAGAAATCTAATTTCAGGTGCAGAAACTGAAAAACTTCATGTGGAAGTCCTTTTAGGCACTTATGTCTCTTTGTTGGTTGGATGTGTGGAGGTAGTTGCGAGTTGCACTGGACAACAAGTTTGAGTTAGTAAAAAAGAAGCCCAGATGGAGTCTTTGGAGAGTGGGAGGTGCTATGATGAGGTGTGTGTGGTGTAGTCGCAGGCGAACATCCACGACTGTGGTTGGGAGATGGAGACCCTAAAGGGGAGGCAAAGAGTACAAATTAAATACTGTGACTTTAGTGAGTCTCTGTACTTTGTGTGTGAATTTGCGTGCATGTTCTTACCATTTTCTGTTAAGTTGCTCCCATGTGGTGAGACAGACACACAGTGCTGATCTTGAACTCTTATCTGGTTGGATCCTCTCCCTCTTAACACATCTGTTATCTACAAAAGATTTACAGTCTGTTACAACTTTGTCTGCATGACCTGAAGTGATAGTCACAGTTATCCACAAAAAAACAACAACCCTTGAGTCAAACAGGAATGTAATATTAGTGGAGAAAACACTGCACTATTCAGGTCTGACCTCTAGAGGGAAGGATACACACATTTACTTTCCATTTCTGGCTCCAACCATTTTTTCTCACTATGTTAACAAGGTCTGAGTCAAGCAGATTTTGCAACTGTTTGCATTCGTTCTGATGTAACTGAAGTAGCAAATGAATGGGATTTTCCATCATAAAATGTGTGTGTGTTTGGATAATCACAAGGAAGTCATTCACAGTCAATTTGGTAACCTTTCTTTGTTTTCTTGAGACAATTTGAATTGTTCTGAAGCAGCAACACACAACCATAAAAATGGCTAAAACAAACAATATAAGTGGACTTTTTTTATTATGCACATTTTCTTTCTCTGTTATCTCCTTGCTCACTTTCTTGTTCTTGGCCACCATGACAGGGGTGTCGTTATGGTAGTTCTTGAGGCTGCTGTCAGCCCCACTCTTCAGCAGCAGCCGCACTGTGTCCACCTGACCTCGGCCACAGGCGCTGTGCAGGGCTGTGTTCCCACTGTATGACTGGCTGTTGACATCACAGCCACTCTGCAACAGAAAAACAGCAGAAGTTGACACATATGTGATTCATAAAGAAAGCCAGAGTAGACGCAGTTCAGCATGGAACATTAAACAAAAGATAGATCCATGAGAGGGTGAGTTAGATCAGATAGGAGAGATGAAGAAGAGAAAATGCTTTAATAGGAGAGATGAAGGAAGGAGAAAAGACTACTTCTGTCCAGGAACAACACCTGCTAAGCTCTGATAATAAAGCTAAACAATGAATATTTTGCTCCAATTCTTTGAAGGTCTTATCTATAAGCTAGACAAAAATAGCAAATACAGTATGCAGCTTATGAGCTGGAAAGAGAAAACCAAACTATCAAATAGAGCTGAGTCACAGCCCTTCTCTCCCCTCCTTCCTCCCTGCCCACACAACCTCTTTACCTCAATGAGGAAGTGGACCATGTCTGCGTTATTGCTCTCCACTGCATGCATGAGAGGACTCTGTCCACTTTTGATGTCCTAATTAAAAAACAAAAGCACCATGGGAAAAGTCAGAGGATGCAGAGACGGTAAATGTAAAATTTGTGAGGTTGTGAAACTTAGTCAGTGATGAGTCAGTGCAGCACAGGGACTGACCATAGCATTGATGTCGGCACCTGCATCCAGCAGCATTCTGGACAAATCTTTGTGACCACGCAGCACAGCCAAATGGAGAGGGCTCCAACCTGAGAAAAGGTACAAAGCAGAGTTTTACAGTGATCAAATGCAGGCATACACATAGACCAGTGCTCTTTCTCTGGCAGGCCCCCCTTCAGTAGCTGAAATAAATTCAAGCCACACACCCCACAATTTCTTTATCAGTCATTAAAAATTACAGGGGAACCAAATCTAATAAAAATTATTCAAGTTGAATTTTAGTGAATTAAAGGTCAGCACAATAGCATCAGCAAACTCCTGGTTGTTTATTTTCCATATATAAATTCAACTTTGTTCCACTCCGTATTTTTCCCCCGGTCATCCAGGCAGTTTGGGAACCACTGAGAGAGACACATACAGTATGCCTATACACACTCCTGCATGAACCCGTTTGTCCAAATACTACCTCCACAAACAGTATATACTCTCAGATATACAGGCAAGGCCGTAAATAGTACATTTTCTACATAAAGGCACTATTGAAGGACATTACATGAGAAGTACAGAATAATTCATTTAAAAACTTATTAAAAGAACTCTAAAACACAATAAAAGTATTTAAAAAATTTATTAAATTATTAAAAGTAATGGCAGGATGCTAGTTTTTTGTTTTGAATTCTGCTATATTTATTATATCCAAATTGATCAGACAAGCTTAATTTGATAATGACTTTACATGTATTCATTAAATTGATCACAGGGAAATCACTGAGGAGGAAATGGTTGCAAACAATCACAAGGCTTTGTCAGATTAAATAATTTAATGAGAAGGGTTTCTGAATCCTTCTAGATCTTTCTTTATCAAGAACATCTTCAATACAATAGATACCAAGGAGCTTCTTTAATAGACCACAATTTACCCTCGTAGTTTCTTATCTCCAGGCATGTGGAGGAAGAGGAGTGAGAGAGCACAACAGACAGACAGTCACGCTGGTTGTATTCGCAGCAGAGGTGGATTGCTGTTTGGCCGTTACGGTCCAAGGCAGTGGGGTCGGCCCCCTCTCTCAGCAAAACCTCCACCATGTTTGCCTGCTGGGTTATCACTGCCAGATGAAGGGGAGTCTGAGGGGGAGGATGAGAGCAAAAATTATAGTTTAGACAAACCAGTGTATTTAGGTCTCTCAAAATAGTTTTCATTTTTCACACTGCAGCACACAGTAGACAGCATTTATAGAGCGTGAACCCCCACTAATGCTGAACAATGCTCCCACTCTCTACTATGCTCAAAGACATAATTTCTATCTCTTAACATTTGAGATAAATAGATTTCTTAACCTTGTATAGATGCCCTTATTCTAAATAGTGGAAATCCCAGATGCTGATTGGCACCAAGAATTTGGTCCCTCCCCCCAAGGCTTTGTTGTAGAAATCTCCAAATTAAAAAATCTATCAAAGGAATAGTTTGATATTTTGGGTGATAGGGTTACTGGCTTTCTGCTGAAGAGTTTAACGAGAAGATTGATACTACTAATGTCTGTATGGTGAATAGGAAGCAAGAGGCAGGAGACAATTAGTTTAGCTTAGTACAAAGACTGAAAACAAGGGGAAACTGTTTGTCTGAAGAAAACAAAATCCATCTACCAGTACCTCTAAAGCTCGGTAATCAACAAGATATATCTCATTTGTTTAATCTTTACAAAAAAATACTTCTGGGCTTGGTGCTGGTAGGTGGATTTTGTTACCTCTGGGCAGAGCCAGGCTAGCTGTTTGCCACTGTTTCCAGTCTTAATGCTAAGCTAAGTAGCTGCTGGCTGTAGTCTAATATTTACAGTACAGGCCAGAGGATCTCCTACAACTCTCTGCAAGAAAGTGAAGGTGAGGTATACAATCAAAATCTTAAAAACTTTCATTCTTTTAATTGAGGATTGAGGAAGAGTGTTATTATTTCTAGTAAAGTCCTCCTTTCACTCTAACCTGTTCTACAGGTTAAAAGTCAGAGACACAATAAAACAATGCCGGGCCAACGCCTAGTACAAATAAACAAGAAACTATTGTAAAATTATCGTTATTACACATCAGAAGATCATGAGATACTGGCTCAGGTATTACGTGCCTGTCCCCAGGTATACACAAACACATGCATACACACAGTGCCAAAATTAAGAATTGTCAGCAATCAAATCAAAGTGGCTGACGGTCAAAGATGAGACCTTTGCACCATATATCACAAAGCAAACACCATCAACTGCAACAACCCTAGCATGAGACTGAGTGATTAATTTTAATGATTAATTAATTAATCAAAATGAGGAGGCACCTGTTCTGAGAGTCAAACAGTCTCACCAGGTGCTTGCCTGGATGAAGCTACAAAGTGCTGAATGAAATCCCTTGAGAAATCTAGGATGTTCCTTTGGGTGAGGTCAGCATGTATAATGTAATCCTGTTGACAATTATGTCAACTCTGACCATGGAATCACTGACAACCTGCTGTTTGAATTAAGCAATGAAACATTTCAGTCATAAAGGGAAGTCCTTCAACCTGGAATTTTTAGCTTCTATTCAAGTTGCGCAATAAATGCAGCAATCAGGAACAGATATTTGCTCCAAGTTTCACTTTGGCTGTTTTACTACTGCATTCATGTGTGTGTGTGTGTGTGTGTGTGTGTGTGTGTGTGTGTGTGTGTGTGTGTGTGTGTGTGTGTGGAGGTTCCAGTAAAGACTATTTAAAAAGTAGTCTAACGGTGGGAGAGCGTCTTTGTGGAATCCCTCCAGTGTGTTAATGCCAGTGTTCCTCCCTTCAGGTTCTGTTTCCTTGAATCCTGTGACTCACACTCTTACGGACAAAAAGCACTTTGAACTTCCTATAATCAGCATTCACTGTTGAACAAACCTTGTGAAAAGCAGCCATACTTTTGACCCCACAGAGTACTAATGAAACTCAAATGGTAGTATCCTCTTCACTCATTTCTTGAGAAATTACCTTCCCAGGCCTTTTAAGGCCTTCAAACTAGACCCCACAGAGTTGGCAGAGTCTAGCTGTGGCTTCCTGTAAAGGATTTCAGAGTGACTAAAACAAAAATCCAGCAAAGATATGAGGAAGGGTGGGAAGGGAGTGAGGGGGGAGCCTGGGTGGAGAGACGAAGGAATGAGGAAGAAACGGAAGCAGCAGAGGGGAGTCCAGGGGAAAGACAGGATAACAAGGGAAAATCCCTGCTCTTTCCCCTGGGTCTGTCCTTGTACACTTGCATTCCTGCAAAATGAGTGGATCAACATGAAGGAGGTGAAAAGATAAGAGAAGAGAGGAGGTTTTTTGGGCATGAAAAATGGCCCCAGGCTGTAGGCAGAGCCAAACACAAAGAAAGGTTGATGGCAACGAAACAGAGGCTGTTCTTCTCCTGTGAACACTAGGAGGTAAAGCCAGTCCTGTTGCACAAAAAAACATCACACGTTCTTACGTCAGAGTTGTTGACAGTTACACTGATAACATCAGTCAGTTCATCAGTTATGGTTAGGAATCCTAAATTCTCTTAAGATATATGCAGCGAGAAATATGAAAAAAGAGAGAGTAGTGAGTGAGCGAGACAGAGAAACAGCGCGAGAGAGAGAGAGAGAGAGACACGCGCAGGAAGGGAAAGTCCCTGTAAACTACCCTCGCTCAAGGTATGTTGAGAAACGGGGGGGGGGTGTTTGCGGTCATGTGACTTCTCGGAACGACGATACTAAAGCACACACAGATGTCTCACTCGTGCACACACAGGCACACACACTTACACAAAAAAATGGCATGCACATAAACAAACTCAAGATGTTTAATATGAAGTGACATGAATCTGAATAAAAAGATTTCAACAGTACAGTGAACATGAGCATTTACAGATACAGCTTTAAAGAAGCCGTTATTGAATTGTTACACGTCATCTGCATACTGCATTGTAGCAGTTACACATGCACTTTAGTGGATGTTTTTAATCTAAAGCACATGACCATTAGTGCATGTTTCAGTGTGGGTGGCCCCCAGGGATTGAGTCTCCAAACCCCACTAGTGTTCGAACCACGCAGTACACCATGAGCTGTAGCAAGAGCTGAAAAAAGTAGACTATCTATGTGTGTGTGTGTAGCCGCACTGATAGCATGACCAGTGTGGGAGTATCAAACAGCTGTCTCTACCATCATAGTAGTTTAGGGAGTGGAAGAGAAATCAAGCACCAACACTTCCACTATTGTTCAGCTACGGTACAGATAGTAACACTCTGTCAAAAAAGTTCCATATGCAAAACCACAGAAACTCAGGATTTGTCATCAATATTGGAAAAGCTGTACTTTCTTTTTTTTCTTCATCTCTGGGAAGTTGACCAGTGCCAGAAAATGTGTTAAAGTCTGTCTGGTAAACTTTATGTTTTGAAAAATGAAAAGTTCCCTGGCCTCATTTTGATAAGTCTATTCTTTATGCCTGGTATTCAGTTAAAACCACACAATCTGGTAGGCAAATGACTGTGACGGGACCTGTGCCTGAAAATCTCCCTTCTTGGTTATAACTGCATATGGCATAATACATGTGAGTGTGTGAAAAGAGAGTTGGTGTATGTGTGTCGCGTGCATTTTCATACACAGGATATCACAAAACCTATGCTGTCAAGCCTCAGCGATGAGGAAAGACAACAAACGATGATAGCACCAGCGTTATTTCTGGTAAGTGAGCCCGTGGTGTCCTGTGTGGTGTGAGAACTAGAGCTCTGCACAGCTCAGGTGCTTTCTCTGTTGAAGGATGAAAGAAAGCTGGCACAATGCAGAGCAGGAGGTGGAGACAACAGAGGGGAAGAAAATGTGGAAGTGTTGACTTAAGGCCAGTGGTTGGGACAACCCTGGATTGGGAAACACTCAAAGACAATTCCATGTGCACATTCCAGTAAAGTACCACTGTAGCTTATCCCTTTTGTTGAGGTTACTATGCAGGGAACACAGTCACTTTTTCATGAGAAAGACTAGTGACCTCAGTGAAAGAATTTTGGTTCCATTAGTCCATTTATATTACTGTAAAAGGCCTGGACATAGAGTGCCAGTCGGACTCTTAATATGCAAGAAAAAAAGCAAATGATATCCTGGAATACGGGTGACATGTTTGCAACTTATATCTTGTACTTTTACAGCCTGTGCATGTGGTTTTATACATTTTGAGACATGAGTGCAGGGTTCAAAAGAGTTCATGGGAGTCACACTTTGCTCAGCTTAATCATCTTGGCTCTATCCTCTGAATTTCACAACATGGTAAATCTAACATACAAACTTTGAAAAATCCCTTAGGGCAACCAAGCACTAGAAAACCATGAACAAAACAAACAAATGCTGGAAAACACACTTAGTCCTTCCCAGCATGTGCATGGCTTTGGCTTGTGGCAAGTACAGGTGGAGAAACTAGGAAGGGTGAATTCCACTGCATAACCATCAGCCGCCTTGACTGTAAGAGTATGCGATAACATGGTGCAAGGCAAGGAGGAAACCAAGGCACTTCCTCTTTCATTCTTTTCCATCTTACTGTTATCAGAGGGGTGAGGCAGGGGAATGTGTTTTACATGCTGTGGCTGACAGGCAGAAGTCCCCAATCGCACTTCAGTTCTACATCTATCTTTCAACATGTTACACTGACTCACTCACTAATGGTGAGACCCCTTCCATACGTGTTAGAAATAGTACTGAAACATTTTTAAAATCGTTCTATGGACTGGATGGGCACCACATTTGAAAAAGGAACACAAACCTTATCTTAATCAATATATCAAACTATTGATTCAAATTCTGCATTTGTACAAGTAATGATAACAGCTGTGTGTGCATGCATCTTGTAGTTTGATGGATAGAAAGGTGACATGTTTATTTAAAGTGTGGTTGTTTTACCTGACGGAGGTTGTTGTATATATCAAGGCCTCTGCGAGCCCACAGCAGGAGTTGAATTAGTTTGTAGACGATGCCCAACTCCCCCTGCACCACAGCTATATGGAGAGCTCTGTAATGAATACAAAAAAGACACATAAAAGGTTGCAGAAAACAACTCCATTTCAACAGGTATTTAACTGGGTCACAGGTTTTCTTGACATTGTGACCCACTGACACTCTACATGTTGGAAATAACTTATTGGCTTAAGTAGGAAATGACTCATCATAGCTTATATGTATAAGTACTTACTAAATGTATTTGACGTGCATTGATCTCCACAATGACATGCCATTTTATTTTAGCACTATGTGATGATGTGATTATGAGGATGTGCTACATGACTGGTGGCAGTTGGGGTTTTTGTTCAAGATGTTAAACCCAGTGCAGTACAAATCACTTTCCCGCATGATAGCTGTAAAGTCTACAAGGAATTTTTAACTGGTTATGAAATAGACCATCAGCGACAAGATTGGCTATTTCTATGTAGTTATTCTTAAAGCTTGCCACTGGGTCAGATTCGATCAGATTCCCCTTGAAATCAATGAAACAAGGTGGTAGAAACACCTGCTTTTGTCCACGGGGCAGCCAGCTCAACATTTTGGGAAATCCGCTTATTTGCTCTCTTGTCATGAGTTACAGCCGGCAGTCGGTTAGCTTAGCTTAGCATAAGGACTGAAAAACAACAGTTGTGGACAGAAGCACACGTTTCTTGAGGTCTCAGCTTGTTACTTGGCAACAAACCATTTCCAGTTTTACATATACACAGTTTTCATAAGGATTAAACTCATTAGTTATAACATATTCATTAATGAGCTTTTGATGTGCTAGTGGGTTGATTTTGTTACCTTCGAACAGGCCCAGGCTAGCTTTCCCAGTTTCTGGCTATGAGCTATCAAACTACCACTTTAAATAAATATCGTCTATATCACTCATTTGGGATGAAAAATCATACATTTCTTTAATGACCTTTAAACTTAACCTGTGAAGGACTTCGACTTGATCACTTGATCTAATTGAGCCCACTGACTCAGTTGCACCGACGAGCTCCACAGATGTACCAACATGACTCACACTGGCCTTATCACACCCTTATCAAGACTTAAGGGGAAACCACTATCTGTGGTCTCTATGCGAAGCGAAAGAACCAACGCAGGCCGAAGTTTAGGAAAAGGAAGAAAAGAAAGAAAATTGCTGTAGAAAACGGTGCAGCAGTTTTCACAATTTTCTTTTTCATTCTGTCAGAAGAAGCAGCTTCCAGTAAGAGTCAGACTGGTTTTATGTCACTTCCTGTTGTCAGTAACAATGGCAGCATTCTTTATCTCGCTTTGTGTGCTGTGAAATCCAGCCATTAAACTGTATGGTTTCTGACAGGGGCTTTCTGTAGGTTCACTTAGTCAGCTTCATCCAATGGATAAGTCATAATCAGATATACAGTACAACCGTGTGACAGGAAATAGGGACGCTTCTTGCGAATTTAAAAGTACCCTTGCACAGAATTTGAGGTCAGAAAATATGTTCTGACAAAGACAAAAGCACTTGCAACACTTCCTCTTTGCAATGTGTCCCACTAACAGGGAGTCATTAATAACAATAATTCCTGCTTGAAAAAATATAGATTATAGACCTCTCTGAGGTCAACACCAAATGCTTTGACAAATAGTGTTAAGTTCTACAACTACATTTTCCTGCACAATTGATCAAAACTGATGTGTTGTTCAAGGAAAAGTTCTGGGATGTATGTATGCATATATCTATCTGCCTTATCACAGTGTCACATTACTCTAATCATATCTTCCAACCACATAAAAAACAAACAGTTTACATAATCTCTATATTCACAGTCGAAACATTTAAATTCTTCTTTCTTTGACAACTTCAGTGGGCAAGTATGAACAGAATAATGCCTGTAGTCTGTTAAACTGAAGGATAAGCTTGTGCCAACCTTCTCTTGGTGGTTGCAGGAAAAAAAACTCTCTACTATGTCTGTGTATATAATTAAATGATTTTCAAACCAACTGCCAAAAAAGAAATGCTAATCATATGCATGCAATATTCTTGCACATGCATGAGCAAGCATGGACATCTCCACAGTTTGAGTAAAAATGTGCAAGCGCAGGTTGGAACTGCAACTGCAATAAAGAATCAGATGATTTGCTCCTGACATCAGAGTGAACAGCAGAAAAAGCAGAACTGTATGTGGCTATGGTTCTTTTCCTCAGCTGGTCCCTGTTCCTGTAACTGACCTCAGCACAGTGAACAAATCTGTATCAACAAAGATATATTTATCATATTTACTGTACATGCTACCAGCCTTTAAAAGGCCCATGCAGTGTCTTAACAATAAGTCCTACAGTGACTGGAGTGAGCAATCAAGCTACGGTATCCATAGTCAAATTTGGTTACAGGCTGTTCAAGTATTTTGTCACTGGGGAACACTGTTGGATGTCCATATTCTCTGATAAACAGAAAGCCAATGGCCCAGTTTTCAGTGTGAATAACTACTGAATCAGAGCCCATCTCTCTAAGCATGAGTTCAACTACTGTATCAATAGTTGCCTTCATAGCAGGCCTAAATGAGTCTATCTCTCTTGTTATACTCTTCAATTTGTATCCATCTCTCTCTTTTTCTCTTAAGATGAAACTTTACTGTTTCTAGTTCCTGGAAGTGGGGCAGACCACAGCCCCAGATAACCCCAAGCATAGCAGCACTGACGCAGACAGGAGTCCCGAGCTTGCCGCATTAACAGACAGTCCCAGTGTATGTATGTGCGTTTGCGTGTGCGTGTGCATGTCTGTGTGTGTGTGTGTGTGTGTGTGTGTGAGAGAGAGAGAGAGAGAGAGAGAGAGAGAGAGAGAGAGAGAGAGAGAGAGAGAGAGTGAGAAAAAGAGAAGGCAGCATCATGCGGTATCCTTTTTGGTATGGATGGTGAGGGTACAACCAAACTGAATAATCAGACTGAAGCCTAACATATTCTGTGGTCTGTGGACCAGCTGAGCAATGAGGTGTTTGTCAGAGAGTGAATGGTAAACAAAAGAGAAGCAGAGAAACACGACAAGTTAACAAGAAAGGGTGGCTTACGTCACACAGTGTTATCTGTTGTGTTCTTTGCAAAGGATGATGGGATATAAGGTATTCGTGAGGGAAGTGTGTCTGAGCAAATCTGAATAAGCAAGCAGTTTATTGTTTTGTGAGATCTGTTTTTTACCAGAGCATTTCTACAGCCATTGTAAGGGTAACATGTACAATTGTCAAAAGCCATCATAGTGCATTTTACAGTAATGCACTCACTTTTAACCATGAGTCAATCAGAGAGTTACTGAGTGATTGAGTGTGTGACGCCCCTCTGAAGCTCCTATTTGAAAGCAAGCACCTTGATTGACAGCTCTTCGCCATCACTGTATGTGTGTGTGTGTGTGTGTGTCTGTGTATGTGTATGTGTGTGAATGAGAGGCCCATTTACCATTTTACTTTAGATTAGGACCAAATACCTAAGAACCAATGACATTTCCATTGACCTCAACCTATGTTTCGTGCCAATTAGCAAAGGGCTAACACGGCTGACACACAACACGGTATACATTACTTGCTTAACATCAGGATGATATCATTAATTGTGAGCATGTTACCATGCTGATGTCAGCATTTAGTTCAAAGCACCACTGTGCCTGTTCATAGCTTAACAGAATCACTAGTGTGGTTGCAGGCTTGGGATTTTATTTTCAGAAACAAAAAGTTTAATGTTTACATCTGGTTCAGTGCATGTGCTGAATCAAAATACTACAAAATAAAAAAAAATAATACAAAATACAAAAATTAAAGTATTGGGTCTACATGACATAGTAATTTGAAATAAATCTGCAAGTAAGATAATGATCAAGTTAAGGTGTTTACATGACAGTTTCATAATAATAATAATCAGGATATTGCCAAACTGTGCATATAATAGTGTTGGTGTGCAGGTAAAGGCATTGACTAAAGCATGTAGGAATTAATTTGAGCTGTCAAAAAACTAACACAGCTGCACATACACAAGTGTGTATAAGCTACTGACACATAACACAGAAAAGGTGAGACAGAGAGAGAAGAGAGAGAGAGAGAGAGAGAGAGAGAGAGAGAGAGAGAGAGAGAGATGAAGCTGATAGAAAGAAAGCGGTAAATGAGGAAGTTAGGAGCGGATGTTTGGGTTTTTTGAACCCATTCATTTAAAAACACAGAGAAGAAAAGAGAGAGACAGAGACACCTGAGAAAAACCGCAATCGTGTGTTAAAAACTGAGCACTCACCGGTTTTCCCGAAACTAAGGGTCTCAGAGACGCTTGAGAACAGAGGATTGACGTAAGTGCACAGGCGCATGCTCACCATCACTCACATTATGCATACACGCACATACGTACACACACACACACACACACACACACACACACACACTCATGTACATATAGACAGTGTGAAAAAGGCTTGGGGGCTGAGAATGTTTCTTTCTGCAGAATTCACACAAAGTTTCAAACAACCACAAAGCAACAAGGTAGGTAAGCTACTACGCAAGTCAGCCAAAGTCTCAGAAATCATTACAAAGGGGCTAGATGTACTGCAGACTTGTTCATATCAGTTTTTCCTTTTGGTTTTGTGTGGACAATTTAAACACACAGCAAGTAAAGATGAAAAATAAAATCTGACTATAGGGCACCAGTGTTAAAGAAGCCACACTATCAACATAGAGAGAGACTTGTACCGTTGCAAGTAAAAATGTATTTAAAAAATTCTGAGTCAACATACATTGCATTCTTCTTATTACCTCGCCACTATCTGTTAATAACATAGGGATTATCAGTCTCTGAAGCAGATATGGGACAATAAACAGCTGTGGCATGTCACGGGACTTACGGCTCTGCTAAATGTTGGTCATCACGAGTTTCTGCATGCAAATGATGCTGATACTTTGTGAAACTGCTACATCAAAGTGCCATTTAATTCTTGGACATGCTGTGTTTTTAGTCACATGACTGTGTGCATGTGTTTGTGTGTGTGTTCTCGTTTGACATTTCAGTTAGTGTGTGAGTGGGTGTTAAAGTAACCATGCGTTAAAGTTTAATATTTGCATTCATGTGGTTAAAAACTCCTCCAGTGTCCTGTGTACAGTAGTCTCATTCCAAACCCCCCTGCCATCTCACTCCCTGAGAGTCTAGTCGACCCACACACTTTACACATACCTGTACATGCAACGTCTATTTACTCAAGCAGCTCAGACTCAAGTGCTATCATTATTTACAGGTTAGTGTATTAGATCAAACTTTCCATTGCCACTTAGTGAATCATCACTGATTTACACTACACCAGTTTCTCTTACAGGAGATGAAACAACAGTAAAGAATTTGGTTGGATACGAGAGGGGTACTGACTGTAGGTACATGATCAATATTCAGGAAAAGGTGAGTCACAGAGATTATAACAAATAAACTAAGATGATACAGACGCACAAACCACATCCAGGCTGTGCAACAGTCTCATAAACAAAGCAGTTGGCTTTGTTTATGAGGTCAGACCGTCACTTGTTGAGACTAGTGTTGTCTGGGTCCAGTCCAGTGAATCACTTGTTTTGAATTGTTATTTATGTAACCATTTCAGTTACACTTATTAACAATGGTTATGGCTTCCCTTGAGAAGAGGCAGCATAAATGTCAAGTCCGCATTGAGGCATTATGTAGAATGATGAACTGAAATGTGAATGTCAGTGAAGCTTTCCATGCAAGACATTTTAACATGTCATGGTACAAAAAGCTGAGGTGTAAAAACAAAATTGATGATGGCTGAATTCTATTTAGCGGTTTTGGTTTCAGGGTCCTGGTACTGTGCACACTGGCTAACAAGCTGTCACGGCCTACTGGTACTAGGGCTGGGCGATATAGCCTAAAAATAAAATCTTTCTCTTTGGCGTTGTGAAACACGATCACATCTGCAATGTCTTATCACCGTGGCCCCTTCTTCTCACATGGGCTAATATAGGAAAATAATTCTACACTTTATTTGTAGATGAGTGACTTGAGTAGATTGGGGCTTGTTTTACAAAGGCCTTAGCAGCTGTACAGTATATCCCCGTATTACAACATTCATAGTTTAAATCTCAATTTTACGATTAAGCAGTTTTGCGTTGTTTATAACACTAACAGTGAGATTTAAATTTCCTACTCCTACAAGACAGAAAAAATATATAGAAAATCTGTGAATCAGCAAACACACACAGATTAGGTGTGAAAACGTAAAGCTGAAAGGTTATCAATAAACAAATAAAGCTGAGAAAACTGTATGGAACTTTTTGGGCTAAAATATTGATATTTTATATCATCTGCAAATTTACAGGTTTGCTGGGGGTTAAGATATGTTTGAATTTACTGTCTATATGTCCTGCTATTAACTCTCGTGACATTTTTATGGTAGTTAAAACATCTTTTCAATTACTTCTTTCCACCATAGAGGGTATAAAAGTACAAAAATGTATTCCACTTTTAAGCAGAAGTCTTACCTTTTAGAATAAAAACACAATATACATCCATTTTAGAAATGAAATGGTCCTTTCTGTAAAGCATTTAACTTGTTTAAGACAGCTTAAACTGAATGTAACTTTCATATTCAGCAAGTCACCACTTCCAAGAAGTTAGGGACGTTTTGCATATTAAACTTAAAACTATTAATCTCAGGTTCGTGTACAATGGATTACTTGTTCAAACTCTCTGAGTTGAGTCTGCTCAGTCTTAACAAAATGACAAGGAATCATTTCAATCTGCAGTAAATCTCACGAATATTTATGACTGTGGTAAGATTTCAGATCTGTAAAATGTGCCAAGTTTCGACCGTCAACGCAGATTGAAATTCAATTATTATGAAGACTCATGAGCTGAATGAATCATAGTAATCTCTTAAGTTTACTATATGCATCAGTGGCTTGGATATGTGATGGATGGATGGATATGCTGCATGCATGATTCAATTATACATCAAGAAAGTGACATCAGACCTAGGCCATTTTAAAAAAAAACATGAACGTACGTGTCTCCATCTTCATCTTGACGTGTTGCCAGAGCGATACCAGCCAGCAGGTTTTCGGTTTGGTGGACCAGAGGGTGGCTCGGCTCTGGGACAGGGGGCAAACAGTACAGTGGGTAGGGACCTGAACAGAAAGAGAGGCAGAGACAGCAAGAGAGAGAGAAAGACAGGTTGGAGGCAGAGAGGAAGAAGAAGAGAAAATGATAGACATAAGTAAAAAAAAAAAAAAAAAAAAAAAAAAGCTTTTTTAAAAGCTGGCCTGGCAAACAAGTTATTTTTTATAATAAGGAAGTGTGCAACTGTGTGTGTATGTGTGTGTGCATGTCTCGCATTCAGTATGAGTTGAGTAAGCTACATCTGTCAGTGCAGAGGATTGACTGGAGATGAATGGCTGCGGAACTGCTGACTGGACATTTTCTCATTGATTCAGCAGTAGCAGCAGCATCAACTGCGACTCCACTGTCATTTCTAACACCTGTGAAACACCAGTGACCATAGATATTGAAGAAGTGGGAAGCTGTGCTCTGCTACTGTTTTAAAAATCAAAATAGCATCATACATGTTATCCCCAAAAAAACATTGTGAGAGCCCCCCGCATGTTTTAAACTGTGTCTCTAACTTAAGCTTACCATTCAAGAGTGTACAGAGATCCTGCATGCATGTATGATTCGTTTGGCCATACATTTAATAGTTTTTCTTAGAAAATAGAAAACCAAATACTTAATGTCAACATGCAAATTCTGAAGAGTAACTAAGTTCAGAAATGATTCCTGTTACATATAGGGGTTAATCAAAATGAAATCCATGAACACTTACTGTAATCAAACGGGCGCAAAAAGCGTATTGGATATCCATTTGGACTCTGCCGTGCCTCTTCATCCCGCCTGGGAGTCACCGGTGCTGCGCCGATCCTGCTTTCATCCGCGGCTCGACCGGCAAAAGTTTCCCGAGGCGTGAAGTCCGCATCTACCGCAGGGGAAACGCGGTCTGCACTCTGTGACAGAGCCGGTGACTGCCTCTGGGTCTCCGGCTCGACAGGAATCGGGCGTTTCCTAAAAGGAAGCCTAGAGGAAGATGTGTCTGCTGCTCGTTTGCGAGAAGCACCGGTTTCTGAGCCCTGTGTGCCCGGTGTACCCGGTGTGACGGCGGGGCAGCTGTCCGCTGCCGTGTACGCAGAGAGTGCAGGTGAGCCGCCCGTCATCCGAGAGTCCCTGACTCGACCTTTGCAGTCCCCAGTCCTCGACCCGGCGCTCCCACGCTCTCGGTTAGTGGTGCGCAAATCCAGTGGCGCTGTGGCAACCGACTGGTGGTCACCGTTCATGGTCATGATCCTCGGCATCAACCGGGGACGAGGCGTTCAGGATCTGAAGAGGTTTTCAGGTGTGTGAGCGTGAAGACAACTTCCAGACGTTCAGTGACAGTTTGGTGGGATCAGTCCGTCCAAGCTGGCCAATAGTGCGCAATTCCCATCCTCATGAAATTAAATGGGCAGCGATCAAATCATCACTGTTTCCTTTTGTGTCACTGGTGTATTTTAGGTAAGCGTATTGACTCGGAATGCAAATGTATTTTCGAAGAAGAGCCAATAGACGTTTGGTGAAGATAATGTGTGTCCCTGCACACCTATGGTAACAAATGCAGGTAGGCTACAGTGCAGCTGCGCCAGCGCTCATCTGCCTTTAATGAACACAATCAGAGTGACTACGGTGGTTTCCCTTTCAAACCGAAACAAAGCGATTGACTTAAGTGCAAATTATACCGGGTGAGGGAAGAGAAGAGAAAACACTGCGTTGAATTCACAATAATTTCTGCATTTCCGACTTCTCTGACATCTGTCTGTTTTGCATGCAAGATCAAAACATGTGAATTTCTCAAGAAGTTCTAGGAGGACGGATCGATGCTTTTAGCGGTGTTTTGGGCACATTGTTGTGCAAATTGTGACGGCAGGTCAGAAAAACAGGATCACATCTGAGCCTTTAATGAATGAAACAACATGAATTCAGTGACAGTTGTTTTTTATTTTCATTGTAATGTTATTTTTCTGTGATTTTGAATGGTACAGTTACAGTTAGAAAAAGCTATAACAAACTGCTCTTTTTGAGGATCGGTTACAGTTTCATAGAGCATGAAGAGAATGGTTAAAGATTTAAAGACTTTAAGGTAACAATTTGAGAGCTTAGTCTTTTGTAGGTCGAGTAAAATGAAAGTGGTGCCTTCATTTAAAGTGTATTTCTTTCCACAGGCTGTCCCACTTTATAGGTCAGAATCTTATATACCGTCAATGGTCAGAATGAAACAAGGAAATACTGACTTAAACAACACACAATGAGCAGAATTAGATACGTTTACTATGAAATTGGGTATATTTATGACTGTTTTGAGATTACTTCCTTTTTTAACTTTTCTGTGCCCTCTTGATGATGTCATGGAAGGTATTTTTTTCTTCTATTTGTTATGTTATTTTGATCACGTGTTTCAGCAGTCATAATTTTTATTTTCACACTTCTGTCTAAAAAGTCACACAATGTCCTATTTTTGCTGATCTCATTAAAGTATAGAACCGACAAACAGTCCCGGTTTTGTTACAGCTGCTGTATTGTTCTACAAGTGACTTACAGTCACAACGTGATGTATTTTTCTGCAACTATATCAACTCCAAACACTGTAAGCAAGATATTAAAGCTCAAGTATAAGCCTAATGCTTAATTGTAGTTTGATTTGCACTCTGGTGTTTGGAGGAATTGTATATTTGAATATTGAGATGTTGCAAGTTGCAGTCCATCACATGCACAGTGTCATATCACTAATTAATTAGTAAATCTGTTGCCTTGGGTTGGTGTTGGAAATGTGAGCAGACGGCAGATCAAGAGCTGAACTTGTAAGTGTAAGTAAATGTAAGCTGAAAAATAAAAGCATTCAGAGAGGCGATGCCCTATCTTAACTGACGATCACTTGACGCCATGTCACTGCTGCCCTGCATCTGGCCATGTTACCTGATCACACACACTTCAAAACATCAATCTGTGTACACAAGCATATGCACAAACACAAATCACACCTCATCTCCTTGTCCTTTAATCTTATCCTACTCCACCCTCATACCAGGCTCTGATTACCAGGGTCAATTTGGGACTTTCCTCTTTCCACTGAAGTGTGGAGTTGGCAACGGAAAGTAAAGCTTGGTGTCTAAAGTCCCTAAAAGACCCTGACACTACACAAACATGCTCTGCAGCTGTCAAGGCACTCAACCATTATGGTCTCATTAGACATTAGGTATCATTGCTTATGAAAAAAGGAAAACACTTGGGCCTACCTCTTTCAGTTCAGTTTGTTCAGTTCATCCTGAACACACATTTGACAGAGCTTAATAAAAGCTTAATGAAGGAAACGTTTTCTGTTTAAAAAAAATTGTCAGGAGCATGCAAATATATGTAAATGGAAAAATTCCCGTATCCCTTTAGTGTTATTCTGAGGCACTGCTACATGAGTGACACAGATCATGAGGTAACATATCGGATACAAACCAATGAAATAAGGCCCCCTTGTGCCAAGAGAGCAAAGGTGCAACTAGACTTTAAAATGGTCAAAAGAAACAAAACATTTTGGAATACAACTATATTGATTTAACCTACATTTAGATAATACTATAAACTTCTACTCCTTTAGCTGTTGAGTAAGTGGCTTTGATATTTGTTTTCCACAGCAGGTGGCAGGAGACAATATAGAAGGTGCTTTTATTGAGCCATAAGGTTTTAATATTTTTTAAAGCATATGTATACTCTTCAGTTCAGGAAAATATAGTTGGAAACTGACATTTAAAAGAGTAAAAAAAATTAGATTTCAGTGACAACACTAACATGGGTTAGCGGTGTCTGAGTAAGTGTCTCCCTCTTGTGTAAGCAGAGGTTATTGCAGGTTAGTGCAGATAGGGCACAATGTGGTGTTTAGACACAAGCAGTATTCATGAGAAATGTATCTTTTCTTTACTCACAAGAATTAGAAATAAATAATTCATCCACTGCAATGTGTAAAACACCTGGTGACTGCATAAATGGTATGAGTTCTAGACACAAAATATGTAATATTAGATTGAATATATTGTTTTATAAGCTATACAATAATCTGAACTTCTGAACTGAGTTTGGTAGCACTGGCTGTCAGTGGTGAAAAATAACTATAGTATGTTTACTCAAGTACTGTACTTGAGGAACATGTACTTTACCATTATTACCATAATGTAATTATACACCACATTTCAGAGGCAGATATTGTCCTTTTGCGTCACTACATTTATTTGACAACTTTAGTTACTAGTTAATTTACAGATTCTGATTAATAATACAAAACATTACCAAAACATCAATTATATTACAGATTAAGATAAATCTTTATTAATCTGTATTGGGTAGACCTAGTTAAAATGAGCCCCACCTTTACCCGCTTCGACATTAAAGTAATGCAAAGATTAATTCAATTCAATTCAATTCAATTTTATTTGTATAGCGCCAATTCATAACAGAAGTTATCTCAGGACACTTTTCAAATAGAGTAGGTCTAGACCGAACTCTTTAAAACATTATTTACAGAGACCCAACAGTACCACCATGAGCAAGCACTTGGCGACAAGGGCAAGGAAAAACTGCCTGTTAAAAGGCAGAAACCTAGGACAGATCCTTCTGCTCTAGGTGGGTGGTCGTCTGTCTCCACCAGTTGGGGTGAAAGAGAGAGAGAGAGAGAGAGAAAGAGAGAGACAGACAGACAGACAGACAGACAGACAGGTGCACAGCAACAACAGTATTGGCAATGGCAATCTAGCAGGACCATGACAGGAGGCTCCACCAGGATCGATAAGAACCTGCGAGACGAGAAAGCACAAGAACTCCGGGGAAGAAGTGAAGTTAGTAACAATTAATGCATCAATAATTATAATCCAAAAACATAATCTGACATGGACCATTCTGCATATTGAATACTTTTGGTACTATTAAGTATATTCTGATGCCAATACATTTGGTCTTTTAGGCCACATAAGTAACATTTAGAGTGCATGACTTTTACAGTACTTGTAAGACTATTTCTACACTATGGTATTGATATGTTTATTTAAACATTAGATGTGAGTACTTCTTCCACTGCACATTTTCAGCCTCTACACCTTATTTGTCTCTTACACATCAGTGACTATGAGGGACTGATGATAGAAAAGCAACTTTTCTTTTTTCAGCGTGAAACAGACACATTACATAAGCACGCAAATGATTCATGAACCAAAATCAAACTTCTTTTTAAAAAGACTTTGGTACAGCCGCAATGCGAGCAGCTCTGTCAGGCTGTACAGACACAGAGGTGCTTTTAGCCTAACTCTAACGTTAGCATGCTTACATGCTCACAACAAATAGCAATGCTAACACACTGCAAGTATTTTTTTTTTTTTTCATTGATCAAATGTCAAATACAATAACAATACAACAATACAAATATTGCAATATATTGTACAAATGTGTTTATAAACAAAGAAAATTGCATTCTGACACACTGCAAGTATTGTCAGCTGAAGTGTGGTGTTAGCATGCTATCAGCTGTATGTAACTACTCAAATGAATGTGTATGAATGGGTGAATGTGGCATACAGCGCTTTGAGACTAGAATGGTGCTATATAAGAACAGTCCAATTATCATTCAAATGCTGTACCAAGTACAATTGTGACAGATTGGTACTTTACTTGACTACTTTAGTTACTTTACAGAGATTATTAATACAAAATAAAATCAACAGATAAATTCTGGCATATAGGCTTATAATTAGAAATAAAGCTATATCTTTAGAGCTTAACTGCTTGGTATATTTAGCATTCTATAAAGTAATTAAAATTTGCTCCACCGTTACCAGCTACAACATAAAAGTTATGCTCACAGAATAAAGTATCAATAATTACAATCTAATTATATAATATATATTACTCTGAAATTGGTCACTCTAAATAATGAGTACTATTTACTTTTGGTACTCCAAGTACATTTTGTTGCTGATACTTTTGTACTTCACCAAATTTAATGGCAATCTCTCCAATAGTTGTTGAGACAATTTACTCAAAAAGTACAAAAATAAAGTCCCACACACTGTCTAACTTGCAATACAACATTTATTTGCGATGCTTTGGTAGTAGACCTTCATCAGCCAAATGATTTATGACAATGAGAAGTCATCTTAAAATAGGGAGTGGCTACAAGTCTGCAAACAATCATTCCCCACATGCAGTAGGAAGGCATTAATAACAAACATCATTTTACAATGTGACAGTCTCCAAATCTTCTCAAAAACGCTTCTCATTGTCATAAACCATTTGCCTGATGGAGGCCTCGTACCGAAACATTGCAAATAAATGTTACATTGCAAATTAGGCAGTGTGCTGGAGTTTATTTTTGCACTTTGTAATCTACTCGTCTCACTCCTACGCACCTGTCTGATGAAACAGATGTGCAGGATTTTCTGTCTCTCTGAGCATCGGCTCTGAGCTTTACTTTACTCAGATTTCACAAATGTCTTCCTCATGGTGGCGCTAGACAAAAAGTCATGGGATCAACAAAGTCATTAGGATTCTTCTGGAGACAGTGAATGTCTGCACTAAATTTTATGTCAGCCCTGAAAATATTTCTGTATTGACCAAAGTGGTGGACCTGCTGACACACTGACTTTGCAGCAGAAATTCTGGTGAAATGTCAAATAAATCCATTTAATTACAAAGTAAACATTGCTCCGTGCTGACAGTCACATGGAGATGATGACTCTTTTTATCTCCCAACTGTTGGATTCGCTTGAGATTGACCTTTGCCTTGAATGTGCTGGCATCCTGCCTGTTACTAAGTATTTTACCTATAGTACTAGGTCATGCTCACTGCTTTCATTCTTAGTAAATGTTTGGTTTTGAGTCCACACCTCTCTGTCTTCTTCCCTCCCATCTCTCTCTCTCTCTCTCTCTCTCTCTCTCTCTCTCTCGCTTGTCTGCCTGAGCAATAGAGCAAAGAAAACAAACCTGTTTAGCTGGCTTCAACCAGGAAACCAATCAAAGGGTGCACCAAGAAAAGAGAGAGAGAGAGAGAGAGAGAGAGAGAGAGAGAGCAAGACTGAGAAAGAAGCAGCAGCAACATTTCAGCCAATGACAGTTAACATGTTTCCGCTGTGCTGTGAGTAGATGCTTCAGCTCTGTTGACCCTGACAATGTAGGACTGCTGTGCTGCTGAGATGTCCATATGAATATTGGTAAGTAGACAGATAGTGTGCAAATAAGGCTGAATGTGTAGGGGTGGAGAGAGTTAGGAGGGAAAGGAGGGGGGTGGTAAAAGTTGAAACTGTTTCAAGGTTTGAGTGCAAGTGTCAAACTCTCCCTTTCTTTGTTTTTAGTTCATTCTTTATCATGGCTGGCCTCGTGTGTTGTATTGCTGCTGTTGTGGAAATCTTTTTTTAAAAAGCCTTTGTATAACAGATGTTGTATTTCTTTGTATCTTTCTGAAGATCTGACAGAGCAGTGGGAAGCTACAATCAGACAGCAGTGGCTGTTTTTCTGAGGAAATACGTAGCTTTGAGTGCCTTATCATAATTGAACTTACCCTCCATTGTTAGATAATGTAATGCTGTTGGATTAGTATGTGGACCAAGGTTGGAATGCTGTTTGAGGAGGCTAAGATGTGTACTTTGCAGGTGAAGTTGGGAACTCACAAAAATAATTTTACAGACAATAAATACCAGCTCAAGCACTCAAAAACTTGAGCCAGTATGAGTAGCTGCTTCCATTTCCGCTCATAAGCAATAAGCTCATTATTATTTATTGTCACACCCCCCACACACAGACAGACTGACATTTAAGGTCGTTTTTGATTCACATCACTTTCAAACACACAACAGCGAAGTTATGGCAGCAGCAGGTTCAGGAGCCTCGCAGGCCCCTACCACTGGAGACCGACGGCTGGTGGACAAGGCCCTCAAAAGACTGGATAAGCTCCACGAGCTGTGCACTAACACCCGGCTGGGCCTGAGGAACAGTCCACCATACCTACCAGAGCTTGTATCTGACACGACAACACTGCTCAAGCAGGTTTGGGAGCCCTACAGAGGCTCCAGGGTGACAGGTGGGCAGGACCCCCGGGGAGACGAGGCCAAGTACCTGAGGGTCCATGTCAGAAACCTGCTGGATAAGACAGAAAGAGCCGTGCTGCTGTTTAAAGAGGGACGGGAGAAAATATTTGAGGAGACATCCAGCTACAGGTAAGAGTGCCCCTGACTGACACCTTTGTCGGTACATAAGAGAAACACACGTCAGTGGGACAGTTTGGGTTTGAAAATCACTTTAAAGATATTCACAAAATTCTTTAACTTCTTCTTTTTTAGTATTTCCTTCTAAAACTCAAAACATCTTAATAAAAGGTTCATTGAATGTTTAATTCATTCATTCATTTATTATTACATCATCATTCAAAGTAATTCCTAATACTTAATCAGTCGTTTCATAAGAGTCATGTACTGTCACGTGTTTCTCATTTTGGAGTACGAATAATTAATCTATTGGTTGCTTGAGAAAAAAGTATGAGCAATTTTGATTATTTATAATTTTGTCATTTATGTGCCGGTTCTAGCGTCTTATATGTGAGAATTAGCTGTTTTCTGTGTTTTGTGTCCTTGTAAATGGAATATCTTTGGGTTTTGGACTGAAAAAACATGACATCTACAGACATCTCCCCGTGCTCTCAGAACTTTTAATGGGCATTTTTCACTATTTTTGGACACTTCATAAACTAAATGATTAATTGGTTTATATAATGGATAAACTTGCGTTGTTACAAGTATAGTCAAATTGAATATGTTTTATATATTTGAGCATTTAATCCTTTCTTGCTATATACTTTTTAATTACTTTTTTAATTAATTTAATTAACTCATTTTGAGGGGGGATGGGCAGAAAATCTACACATGAATTAATATAAATAATGGTTGGTTGCAACTGGAAAAATCAAATAAAAAAATCATGCAAATTAAAAAAACAAATATAATATTATTACCAGCCATTTTGGCTTGTTTGCCCAGGTTTTAAATAATATATATCTCAGACTTCTCCTGCCAACCTACTGTACTACAATGGACAGTTTTAAATGTAACTGCATATTTTTAGTTATTTGTCCCTGTAACTTGGAATAATCCACGTGTCACATTGTTTTTACAGGGATTTTGCTTTCTAATTCCAATGAAAACCGTTCACGGCGACATCTGTTGATGTCATCTATTTCCAGAAAAAGTTTCCCCACTACTGATTTGAATTTTTAAAATGAACATAAATTAGATTCCATTCAAACTAAATCAAACAATATATATTAGAGACCTCACAACCTGAACAAATAAATCCAAAGCTATCTGCGTGGCCACCACCCGAGGCCAACCATGTAAGGATGTGCTTATATTGTGATTGACATTTTTTTTTTCCAACTCAACCAAATCATCATTTTCTGACAAATTTCTCTCTATAACCCTTCAGTAAGACAAATAAACTGACTATGGGGTCAGAAAGAGGCCACACATCCCTTAAATCTTTACCAAGTACCATGGGACCGGGAATTGGGCTCTTACAAGGATCCAGAAATAGCCTTCTATATTTGGTGATGATTATATGATATGATATGATATGTTATGATTAAAAGAAAAAGATACCTTAATACTTGTCAGTTACGATAAAGGCTTCAACCCTGCCTAAATTAAATATTTGGAAATAACTATTCCAGCCTATCTTTAGAAGCTGCAGTAAAATAATACAACTTCCCCAGTTCCCAAGTCAAATATGGACTTAATTATGCAGCAAAGAAAAAAATGTACCATGTTATGTAAGTTTGGCTGAAGTGAATATTTTGGAACATCTGAAAAGAATGACTTTTTTATTTGGAGTTTGGTCTGCGTCCCCTTGCTGCTGATGGGACTGCTAATGACGAAGCTGGAAAAAGGGGCCAAACCTGTGTCTTTGTGATGCAAATGTGGGGAACTAGGCAGAAGAAATTACAACCTCAGTATGTGAGCAGCTTTTGAGAGCGACTGTCTGGCCTTGAACGCACATTTTCTCAGTGTTTGTCCATACAGATTTATCCGCAGAGTATACACAGATATCCTCTGCTTTCATTTTACTCTCTTCTGACCTGCGTGTGGCTTAAATTCAGGACTGAATGAGCACTCAACTGCTCTGCTGTATTTACTGCAAATGTATCCTTACACTGTATAATGCTTTTACTGTGTAACACATCTTCAACATGAACTAGTTGCAAGTATATTAATAGCATATGTGTTATTCTGGAACACTCTACAAGCACCAGGCCATTAAATGTTGTCCCTTACCAACCCCCTAATTAAAACTTATTGAAGAAGTTGTTAGTTTATGATCTTAATATGCTTTGCTCAGTATGTGCCTTAGTAAGGTGGTAGTAGCACAGGAATAGTCAAACTCCCTTAATAACACTTCACACATGTGGTCTATTCTTAAGTAACGAAACACAAATGTACAAGTGTAAATAGTGTCCACATAACTCTAAATTAAGTCGTCCTAACTCTACTATATGTTCTCCACTCTAAATTGAGCTCTTGCTCATAACTCATATGTTTTGAATGATTAAAAATTTTATTCAACTTGAATTGAAATCTATCACAATTTAATATTGCGTAGTTATGCGCAAAGGCTCACTTTATAATTGGGAACATGGGAATGGATGAAGACATGCTGCATCTATCTATCTATCTATCTATCTATCTATCTATCTATCTATCTATCTATCTATCTATCTATCTATCTATCTATCTATCTATCGATCTATCTATCGATTGATCTATCGATCTATCTATCAATCGATCTATCTATCTATCTATCTATCTATCGATTGATCTATCTATCTATCTATCTATCTATCTATCTATCTATCTATCTATCTATCTATCTATCTATCGATTGATCTATCGATCTATCTATGTAGTTCACGGCATCAAAAAATTTAAATTGATCATTTTATGTCATATTATTTACATTTGCCATATTTTAGATATATCCATATCAGACACAAATATTCTAACTACATGATATTGTACTATAATTTCTATACTATAATATAATTTCATTTCAATGAGCGCTAATCAGTCAGATGAGGCACCGCTGAGCTCCAATCCAACTGATGCATAGAGATCCTTGTCTACACCACTGTACAATATACACTCTTTATATGCAAATTGTTAGACCATTTTTACACTGGCTTTTATCAAACACTTGATCTCATCAGATAAGTCATTTCTGAAGCATTATTGCATCATCTTTAAGAATCTTTTGTACACACAAGATAACAGATGGCCTTCTCACCACAGCCAGATCTGCATGGGCAGTCATGTGGCAAATTCACCTAGTCTTATGTGTAATGTGGCTTAGATGTGAGGGCAAATTGTGCATATATCTTTTGTGTTTTTAAAGCATCCTACTATAGTATCCTCTTTTTGGAGCTTGTTATCACACAGACTCAGGCCAGTAAGCTGCAGGAACTCCGTCTATTTCTAATAACGCATGGTTAAAATAATAGTCTCCTTTTAGTAAGTGGAATTTCTGCCTGCCTATTATGTGCAGTTAAAAACGGAAGTGAGATAAGACTGAAGGTGAAGACATAAAGAGACAGTGAAAGGTTTAGTTGATGGAAGATTATTGTCTGTGACATATTAATGGCTTTGACCTCCCCTGACTGGAATTTCACACATGCAAATATGTAAGCACCGTTAATCATACAACTAGAACTGAGAGCAGAACCAACGTAAGAGGCACACATATATTTATTAGCTAGTACATAAATGACGTAATAAATCCTTTCATGTAACTATGAAAGATGAAAATCCAGCTTTTCGTATTCAGAATTTTAATAAGTTATGCATTTCACAAAAATTTAATTAAACCGGCCATGCCCTACAGCCCTTCATCTTGGGTTTAATTTTGACAAATATTTGATCAGCGTGTACTCATCCTGTTCAGGGTGTGGTTCGACTGTTTGAATGTTAATGTCAGTCAGAATTTGCTGTAATTACACTGTCTAAGTTAAGGATTTACTGAAAAGATTACTTCCATAAGGTGCTGATAGAGTTCAAATGTGGCTGCCCTCAAGTTTTTCTGTATTTTTGCACGAGATAAGAAAGATTTGAAGCGAACAACATATTTCACATGAAGCCTCTTCAGGTACACTGATCAAAGTGAATGTGAGTCAAAACTACACTTACAATTACCATAAAGCAATGCATTGTCCAGCATCAGTACTGCTACCAAAAACAACATTTGCACTGGTGTGTTTACTGTAAATTTCACCACCACCTTTCTGTCTTTTACATGATATTTTTATATACGCGGGGCCAGCCAGAGCGAGAGATGTGGCTTACACATTTCCTCTCACCTTACTTTCCCCTTCTCAACACCATAGAGGTTTTTCTTTTCCTCATTGAGGTGGAAAGTCTTTGACCACCACCCACACAATCAAATGTCCCTCTAATGAATTCTGGATGTCTGGACAGATCTGCAAACAAAAAACCCACAGATGCATCCAAAATGTCTTGCAAAAGAGGAGATATGGTGTAATGAAGATGTTTAATCATGTTGTCAGATTCAAGATCACTAGATATCTTATAATTGTAATTTTCTGTCCATATTTAAACTGGCCAAATATATATATATTTTTTTAATATATATTTTTGATGAATTACTGTAACATAGTACTTGATGATGCACGTTAGATGCGTCACATTTATATCGTGCTCTTTCCACTCAAACATGTATTTTCTTTATTGTTATGTCACTTGAAAGCTTGACCTTCACAGAGCAGAAGGGACTTTTCAGCGAAGTACTTGACTTTATCTGCTCTTGTGTCCAGTAGTTTTGAAACAAAAAAGATTTGCATACCCACAGATTATGTATTTTTCAATTATGTAGAAGTAGTAGATGTTTTAAGTACTTAATTTAGCTTTTTGTGTGAAATAACCATAGCAGACATAAATTATAATTCACAACAAACTATTTTTATATTTGTGATTTTGTAATACTTGTATGTGATGTTTAGATACTTCAAAGACAAAATTAGACATTTTGCTTGTTCATGGTTTACATTATACAAATCGTTATTGTTGTAAATGAATGTCTAGATGAAAGTAAAGTAGACAAATTTGATTTTGAATGTAGAGTTTTGTTAGTTTTGTTAGTTTTGATCGTGTTGTACCAAGCTGCATGTTGGCAAGGAGTCTTTTAAAAATACAACCTCAGAGTTGAGAAATGTTCAAAAAAAATTATTTTATTTATAAATGACCACAGAAGAGCCTAGAAAGAGATTAAATACTAGTAACTAAGACTGACCTGAAGTAACACAATGGCCACTGGAACATTTTGTGGTATTTACAGACAAGCATGCAGCAGAGAGCATCCTGTTTGCAAGCTGGACTACCTGTTGTGTGTGTTTGCATGTGTTTGTGTTTCTGTGTGTGTATCTATGGAAAGTATCAGCAAAGGTTGTTTCAACTGAAACAAAGCAGTAGTGTATCAAATGTACAACAGTTAAAGCTATGTTTTCCCAAAAAAGGGTAGTTGTAAAAACATATTTCTTTCAATTTATACGCAGTCTATTTATAGTTATTCTCTATTCATAGTGTTGGCTACATATATGAAGTTGAATACAATATGCAATATGCCTAGTTTGACATCCTTGATTTCACACGCCCCCACTGCAAATTGGAGTCTTGATACTTTGTGTAAAACTTTAAATAGTCACCCAAGCAGAATGCAAGAGCACCAGTGACACACATGATATAACATGTAGATATAGCAGCAGATAATATATATTATATTTGAATATTAGAAAGAGATGTGTGAAATGAGGGTTGTCAGTTGAAGGCAAGTTAGTCAACATCTCACACAATGACTTTGTATATATTTGTATGAGAGCCCAAACTGTTCAACCCTCCACTTGTGGGCCAGAAAACATTGACATTTCCGAGCACTGTATACCTATTTCTATTTCTGTAACCACAACTGAAAGTCTGTTTTTCATTCTCAGGAGGAACTTGACCAAACTGTCCTTGCTGTTCAGTCACATTCTGTGGGAGCTGAAGGCCTTGTTTCCAGGGGGATGTTTTCAGGGTGACACCTACAGGGTGACCAAGACGGAGGCTGCTGAGTTTTGGAGGCATTCTTTTGGCAACAAGTGAATATTTTTTTTTATTTTTGTTTGTATGCGTTTTATGTGTGCCCACATTCACAGCATGTTAATAATGTCTTCTGACAGGTGCATAGTGCAGTGGAATAGTTTTAAAGAGCATCTGCAGCGTGTTCATGCATTTGAGGAAGGGATGGAGTCCATGGCTCTGAAGTCAACTATAGATCTCACCTGTAATGACCACATCTCTGTGTTTGAGTTTGACATCTTCACTAGACTGTTTCAGGTAAGTTAAATTAAACTAAATATAAATTTACAGCCAGCAGCCTGTTAGCTTAGCTTAGCATAACGACTAAAAACAGGGGGAAACAGCTAGCCTAGCTCTGTCCAAAGGGAACAAAAAAAAAATCCACCTCCCAGCAACCCTAAAGCTCACAAATTAATATGTTATATCTTGTTTGTTTAATCCAACCAACAATTGTCGTTATGTGACTATTCCTTTTATGGGCATAGTAATTTCCTGGAATTAAGAGAATAAATAGTATGGCACATACAGTCAGCTTGACAACTACAAAATGTCATTTTCACACTTCACTAACATGTTAGTGAGCTTAGGAGGTGGCAGTTAGCAGGTGATTGTTAGCCATTTCCCCCTTCCTTTATGATAACCTAAGGTAACTGGCTGCTGTCTGTATTTTCATATTGAGCATACAGACATACGAGAGGTATCTTTTCATCTACATTTGACGTAGAAAAACAACAAGTAAGCCTGTTTCTTAAAATGTTGACCTCAGACTTTATAATTTTAGTTCCCTTCCTGAGTCTCCTCTCTTCTCCTTTCACTTTAGCCCTGGAGTTCACTCATAAGGAACTGGAACCAGCTAGCAGTGACTCATCCCGGCTACATGGCCTTCCTAACCTATGACCAGGTTGTAGCTCGTCTGGAACACTACCTGCACAGACCTGGGAGGTAGGGACGAGCACCAGCAGCAACAGACTCTAACTGATGCAAAGTTGAAAAACTCAAAATAGCACCGTAGAGGTTGTTGCGTGATTGAGTTACATCCAATTAGCAATTGCTCTCAGTTATAAAAAACTGAGCCTTTGAAACAACATAGAGCCACAGCACTCCAACAACTTTAAGCACCTGGATATTCATTATGAAAACTTCAAAAATTTGTGATTTATTATTTCTTAATCAGTAATGAAGTATCTTATATTTCTTATCCACTTGAGTTTTTGCATGTTTTTCATAGTGCATCAGACTGAAACTTTCCATCTTTCAGACTAGGACTGAAGAGGTTTTGTCCTATCTATGTAAAGTACAACTTAATGAAATTATGTAGATGAACTATAAGCATGGCCCAAAGTGTCATTGAGTGAGTATACATGCACTGTAGCAACAGTATTATAGCGGTTTTAAGAATGTTAAGAATGAGAGGACTGGTTTTGGAATTAATTACAAAAATACAGAAAATATTATGTCAAATTCAGACCAAAGTAAACAGAATCAGTGACACCCAAAAATAAAATAATGTTCCAGTAACATATCTATGAAGTTATTTCAGTGTGATTTTGTCTCCTGTTAACAAATTATTTACAAGGATATCTTTCCTTCCAGCTATATCTTTCGTCTGAGCTGCACAAGAATGGGCCAATGGGCTATTGGCCATGTGACCACCGAAGGTAGCATTGTCCAGACCATCCCAGAGAATACGCCTCTCTACCAGGCACTCATTCAGGGCTTCAAGGGAGGCTGGTTAGGACAAACACACACAGTTCTCTGGTTTTTTTTTTTTTTATCTCTGTTTGTATCTGTTCTCTAAGTGCTGTGTGTTTCTGTGCCTGCAGCTACCTGTACCCAGATGGCCGTGATGTGAACCCTGACCTGACAAGCTTGTGTGAACCGGCCCAGAGGGGAAAAGTCAAAGTTACAGAAGTAAGTGGATGCACTTTATACCTCTTTATCAATTTATCAAACTGCCAACAGTGTCCTGAAGCCAAACAAAAGACAAAACATAGATAATATCCTGAGATGTTCTCTTATTGTTTTTGTCTTCTCTTTCTGTCTACCCACCTACACCAACAATGCGACTGTAACACCCAACAGGAGCAGTACGAGCTCTACTGTGAGATCGGCAGCACCTTCCAGCAATGTAAGATCTGTACAGAGAGGGATAAGGACACTCGTATCCAACCTTGTGGGCATCTCCTCTGCAAACGTTGCCTCACAGGCTGGCAGGTATGTGCCTCCATTCACTTCATTGTTGTAGTCTGCTGTACAGTATATCCGCCTTTATTTCTAAACACATGCTAAATATTTACATGTTCAACCGAGACAGATTGTTACCGTAAAATAGTTACTGTGTGCTCAGTGAGCTGAAACAATGTGGGTTGACTGAACTGGATGTATTTTTGTAGGCCAACTCATAACTCAGCCCTACCATGGTTTGGTTGTTGTAGCCCCAGCATACTGTAGCAATGCTGGTTATTTGAATGTGGTTTGGGGTTGATGTAAAAAATATCCTCTGTGTTCAACAAAGCATGTGACTGATTCGTAAACTGAGTTATATAAGATAACTCTTACAAATCAGTGCCATGGCTGATTTATACATTTTAAGGCAAGAAACTCAAATTTCTCAGTATTGCCCTGCATTACTATGCAAGTAAGGCAAATAAAAAGTACCTTCCATGTCATCCATGTGTTTCTATACTAAGATATTCCTCTGCAAAGTTAATGTGGAACAATTACACCGCCTTCATAATGACATTAGAGAGTTTTATAATCCACTTCAGTTTTTTACTGTGAAATCACATTGTTGAAACAACAAACAACAGTTTAATACATATTCGGTACACATGTGCTTGTGAATTAGGTCACATCGCATCCACAAATGTGTCAACTCTCCAGTTCTATCAGGTCACACTTAAACCCTCTTAAAGCAGTTCTTTGCTTGAGCAAATAATTTGATAAGTTACTGGAGAGACAAGCAGGAAGCTTGGTGCAGTAGTTCAAAAAGAAAAGGGTTGTGAAATGAACCATCAATATAAATGACAGATGCCACTTGTGTGTAACCTGATCACATCTATAAATGTCAAAGACATTCAAAAGATAAGATACCTAAATATATGCAACCATCTACATTTCTAAGTCATCCTCTCACTTTGGTCTAATAGCAATTCATCACTTGCATGATTAAACCCTTGATGTGTCTGACTTGCTTTTATCTCTACTGGAAATCTGTTCCATTCTACCGCTGGGGTACAGAAAGGTATTTTGCCCCATGCATGTCTTGAATCTACATGGCACAATATCCCTGGCCCTGTCTCTAGTTCAATAGCCATGTGAGTCGCTAACTAACATGGCTAACTAATTCTTAAAATACCTTGGAACATTACCTTGCAATTTTGCACACAACCAACAGTCAGTCTGAAAATTAAAATTCAGTCATATGGACAGCGTGTCCTCTGTACACTTTTAATCCTACAATGGGGCTCCCCCAACTTCCTACTTCCTCTTTTAATCATGACATTAAAGACATCCAATCAGAAGTAAAACTACTACTACTACTATTTATTTTTGCTCAGCCAGCCAGTTGCCTCCCATCTGTTCAGGAGGTGCTTACGTCTTTGCAAAGGTGCAGAGCAGCAGGTCCTGACATTTGGCTGAGGACTTCCTGTGTGAGCTCAGGCTCACATCCTCCTCAAACTGTATTGGTCACATTCACTTTGAGAAGAACTGTGTGTGTGTGTGTGTGTGTGTGTGTGTGTGTGTGTGTGTGTGTGTGTGTGTGTGTGTGTGAGAGAGAGAGAGAGAGAGAGAGAGAGAGAGAGAGAGAGAGACAGAGACAGGAAAAGAAAAGAAAATTAGATATGCTTTGTGGACGTCAGACCACAATGGAAAAGTTGTAAGTTAGTCTAGATTGTGGTCAAGCAAACTTCCTCATCAGAAGTAGGTTTACAATAGAATACCTTGAAGAGTGTAAAGAAAATAACAGTTTAACAATGATTTTCAAAGCAGTGTATAGGTAGTCAGACAAACTGCAATATTAGATAAGAGGAGCAATCTGAAAAAACTGTCAACAACATGGACAGACTGTCTCTGCACTATTGGTGGTCACAGGAGTCAACAAAAAATGCATGATGTGAGCGTAAACACAAAGCATGTATGCTAAAACAGTCGAAGAAAGAGTAAAATGTGGCTTCATCTGTGGAAACCACAATCTACAGTGTCTGTTGAACGTAGTATTTTCCACCACCTTCATCTTTTGAAAAAGTGGCGGCTTTTTTCTTTGAAGATAAGTCCAACATATTCCACTACACACAGTTCAAAAGACATGAAGTCTGTATGACAATGGGTCTTTACACTCATATAATGTTTCTATTACTCTGCCCATGACCTGTCATTGATAATTATCTAGCAGAAGTCAGCAGGCCACACCTGCCCATACTGTCGCTGCGATATCAGAGGAACAGAGACGATCCTCATCGAGCCCTACCTGCCAGGCAGCGGTCAGTGGGAGGAGGAGGAGGAGGAGGAGGAGGAGGAGGGTGATGCAGAGGACGAGACCCATGAGGACATTGAACTGGTGGTAAAAGAAATGGCTGCCCTGAAGAAGGTGTGTGAATACATTTATGTGTATTTGTTTTGTATAGTTTTAGTCACATTAGCCACTGGCAATATAGGTCTGTTGGTCGGTCCACCACATGGTCCCCAGAGGATGGTTTTTCATCTAGCACCACTAGGAGGTCAAAGTTTTCACTTTACCTGTAAAATATCTACGGAATGGATTGGCACAACATTTTGTACAGATATTTATGGTCACCAGATGATAAATCCAAATTACTTGGTGATCCAGTTGAGTTAGCCTCAAAGCCCTTGAAAAAAATGGGGATCAGTGTAGCTGCAAAAATGTTTGCAAGTCATTCTAGGTTGCAGGGGTAGAGAACATGAAAGCTCATTTGCCTATTTCAGTGGTAAACTAATGTGCTGAACTACGTTGGGGAACATGTTGAACACTGTACCTGTTTAGCTTCAGTATGTTAGTATTGTCATTGTAAGCAGCATGTTTGCATGTTGATATTAGCATTTGGATTTGGTTTAGCATGTAGACTCTTATTGTTGTTTCTATGTGTTTGCAACTCATTTAATCTATATCAGGAATTATATCATAAAATCCAGGCACCTCGCTTGCAACAAGCCTTTTTTTTCATAAAGCCCAACAACACAAATCTAAAATTTGCCTCAAGGGGCTTTAGAATCTGTACAGAATATGACAGGATATGACATCCTTAGACCCTCCAACATGTATCTTCACCCCCAGTCTCCTACTGTAATTTTTAAGCAATGCTTGCAGAGGAAAAAAAAAATCTCCACTGAATACCAACATTTTCTCTCAACAGTTGTCAAGTTTGGATTACCAGGTCCCAAGGTCCCGCCACAGCGTTCCACCTCTGCCCCCTAAAAACAGCACTTCCCCACACTATCCATCTTCCTCCAGCCAATCCCAGATGCCAGCCAAACACTCCCACTCTCGTTCGGCAAGTTCCCACTGACACTCAAGCTATTTGAATATTGTTGGTGTGATGCGTTAATTTTCTCCATCCTCACAGACACTAAACTCTGAGGAATGTTAATTCATGCACAGTACTGCAGAGACTCACCAACCGTGATGTGGATATGTGTGGTAGCTGATGCCTGTACAATCTTTGTGACATTTCATCTGTTCAGCAGGCCCACAGTGGTAATGAAGCACATAAAGGACACAAAGAACACACAAGCATGAACAGGTGAGACACTGAGAGCAGTAAAGGGGAAAAGATGAATTTGTCTACATGTATACTAGAAACATTCAGGAGCCTTAATTTGAGCATGCTGCTAACTAACTATTTAGTTGACTATTTGCTACTGAGATAAGGATTTTGACACTTTTCTATAAGGGAACCAAAAGGACCAATTTCCACTAAGTTACTCAAAGTGTTCAGCATATTGCTGGAAACACTCTAGCTGTCTTAAAATATCTCAGTCAACTTTGCAAAGAGGTTAAATTAAAAAAATGTATGGACTGTTTGATTTCGTAGTGTGTTTTGTGGTGTGAAGGTTTAATTTTATATTGTAAGTGCTTTTATGCATGTCTCTATTTATTTATGAATTTGTCTATGAAATAAAAACCTTTAATAAAAGTATATTTTAAACAAATCAGGCATTTAGTTGTGGACTGTGTTATTCTATATATATTATTTTTACTATTATAAGGATATATTATATATGTATATTCATCTATATATTAGCTACAGTACCTAAACACAAATACTATTATTATTATTATTATTTTTATTATTACTGTAGAAACAATCGATTCTAGTTGATTGTAAGGCAGAGTGGAAATTCCTAAGAATCTGTTTATGCTGTTTATTACTGTAGGTGATTGCTGTTGTTTGTTCATTTCATTTCCTAATTTTTCCTTTGTTTATTGTCAACAATATATACCTGCAACAGGATAATATGAATGTTTTTAATTATAATAAAATATGTTGTGTCTTGTCCATTTAGGCGTCAGGGAGAGGACAGCAGTGACGAGGAGAGGTCTGGTGGGTTTCGAGTGCCTCAGCCATACCCACTGTCCCACAGGTGATTGACAGCTGCCTCTATTGAGACTCACTAAACCAGTGTTTTTCAACTGATTCTTGATTTACTTGTTCTTGTTAAGCAGCTAATTTTATCTTGTTCTGTTTTAAACAGTGCTGAATTCCTCTCAGAAGCAACACTTTCTTCTTCCTCTCAGAAGGATGTTGACAGTAGTAAGTTATGTTATAAGTTTATTTCTTGAACTGCACACAGTACAAACAAAATAAAAGTGAGATAATTCTACACGATGCAAATGATCTTTAAAAAATGTGCAATGTTGTAAGCCATCAAAGGGCATAAAACAAAACACACAGTATTGGCTCAGAGAATTATATGCCAAGGAAGACGGGAGGAAACAGGTCTAGCTGAGGAAGCGGTTACAAACTTCAGTTGAGTTAGCCTCAAAGCCCTTAACTACATTTTTAAAAGCTCTAATTGGGATCACCCTGTCTAGCTGCAAAAATGTTTGCAAGTCATTCCAGGTTGCTGGGGCAGAGAACATGAAAGCCCATTTGCCCATTTCAGTGCTTAACTACAATGCTAACTACAAACAACACAAAGCCCTCACACTCTATTGTTAGTTAACTCCAGAGCTGAAAAAGATTTTTTATATTTTGGGTTTGTGTTAGTTTAATGAGCACACTTTTTGAATAATTGTTATTCTTTTTTTCATTCTTGTACTTTATTCTGCATACTACTTCCATTAATTGTTCCCAAATGAATCATACTCATAGATCCTTTTCACAGCAGATATTTTGGCATGTCATTGCAGAAAAGCACAAGTGGAACTAATAAAATAATCATAGCTCAGTTCAAGCAATTAGTAATGTTATTATTAACACTTTGTTTGGCAGGCCAAAATGCTTCAGTCTATTTAGTCTGTTTTTCACAGCAGCCATTTTGAAATGAGATATTAGGGTAAACACAGGTTTTTCTAATGATACTATTTAACAGTGTTGAGTGCTGCCATTGTGCATTTTGGCTCACTCGTGAGACTCTGCTACACAAAATGGAACAGAAAAGGGTCTAACTAACTCTCCAGTTTGAGAATCACTTATGTAAACATTCAGCCTCAAGTAATTCTGCACAAGTCCAGTAAAGTTACTTCTAAAAACACTAGTAGTCTCATGCTAGAATTCAGTCACCCAATCTAAAAAGTTCTAAAATAAAAGGCGAGTATTTTACAGCGGACATAGAGGTTATGGAACAGGATTTTGTGTCTTACATCTCCTTAGACCTTTGCATTTCTCATGTGAATTGCACATTTAAGTAGAACCTCTTTTTGTGTTTGTGTGTACAATAGATGCCGTTGCATGGATCGGACCCTCCAGCCCAGTCAAACAGAGGCGAAGACATAAAGAGAGGGAGGAAAGGAGAGCAGGGTTCAAAAAAGACAAATGCGGCCTGGGAGAGATGACGAGAACAATGTCGTCCTGAGAGCAAAATGAGCTCTTCTAAAGACTCTTTAAATAAAGTGAGAAATACATGGCAACTTAAATATCTTAAATCCACAAATCAGCCTTCAGTGAATGTTAAAATATTTTTTGTTGTTATGTTTAACTGTAACTGACGTTGTGTCTGCTGCACTGCACTGTTGTGGTTGACATGAGTGGGTGGGCCTGACAGGAAAATTACTCAGTGAGGCCTCCTACTGTTCAATAATCACACTGCCATTATCTCCACAGTTGGTTCAGAACTGATTCCTGAATATAGACTCGCACTGTCTTCTTTGTAACTTTTTCTGAGCCTCCATGAAATAATAGAAATAAATTAAAGGTTTTATATTTGAAAATGTAATTACATGGACAAAGGAAGGGGGGCAATCAATTACAAATCAAGGGTGAATATATGAGAGAACAGAAATATGCTACCTCGTCATTGAACCCATGCAACAGGTTTGTTCTTATAAATACATTATGTGATTAAAGTAAACTAAAATGTACAACTCCATCAAACTGTCTTACATGGTATTACAAATAAACCTATAACTGACACATACTTGAGCTTCTAATTGGTTTCATTTGGCGGGTTTATTTTCTCCCATTATTGGCATGAAAATATGAACAGACAAATGAAAAGTGAATATAAGTGGTTTTATTTTGTCTTCTACATTCTGGCAGAAGTGTGTTGAGTCTGGATATATGAAGGGGGAAACTTTAAAGGAGACAAGGCACCCGTGAAAGAAAAATAGATAGAAAAGAAATTAGGAATTTATGGTCATGTATTGCAGAGAATAGAGGGGAACAAGTGGGAGGAGTGAAGAAAAATAAAAGTGAAAATTAGTAATTTCTTCAAGGATAGGCTGCCATGGTGTCTTCAATCCAGTGAAGGAACTCGCACACTTTGACATAGACTCCAGGGTAGTTAGGCACGGCGCATCCCTGACCCCATGAAACCAGGCCGTAGACCTCTCCAAGACACACCAGAGGGCTGCCGGAGTCACCCTGACAAACACAAGGAAGCGAGTGTGAGCAGGTACACAGTGATGAATTCTTTCACACATACAGAGCTATGAGTCCAGTTAGTCTTTCAAAGCATTTACTCACATTGCATGCATCTCTGCCTCCATCCATGTATCCAGCACACACCATCCTGCGTGTGATCATGCCAGGATAGGCGTTCTCACAGGCCTGGTCATCCACGATGGGCACGTCCAAACACTGCAGACGGGTGGGCAGATTCACTGTAACAAGCAGAACAGAGATCTGTGAGACATCTGTACCTGAAGAATCAATAATGTGTTATTCAATTTCTCTTTAATTTCTCACTTCTCCAGCCAATCTGTAGCTGTCAGCCCCAAGGCCATTTGTAGCTACCAAATCTTAAATCATCTGTAAAACTATAACAACAGATTCCAAATATATATACATTTACATACATACTTTTTTTCAAAAGGTACTGTAAGAGGAATAAATTGTGTATTTGTTGGAGATTATTTTTAGCCCTGGATTAATACACACTGGGTCCTCTAGTGAGTATTTACAGCAGCAGGACGATGTGTGGGGTCAGCTACAGGATAAGCTGCTATGTGTGGAATTTTTAAATGGCCAACTTTGACATCCCCCAGTGGACGCCTATATAATAGAACACTGCCCCTCCCTGCCCATCTTGGACCTGGAGACTCTGAAGTGAATGGTTTGAAAACAAAGTTGCACTGATATTGTGTCATTTTTCAGAAACAAAGGATTTTGCCATCCAAGTAATTTAAAAGAAGCTAAAATTACATTCTGCACTACAAATTCCACACATTATGGCATTAAGCATGTTGTCCTTTGCACACTTTAGCTGTAAAATTTAAATTATTATCAACCCACCCCCATCCATGGCGGTGTTACCCCAGCCAGACACAGAGCAGGGGAGCCCTCCTACTGGGCACCCTGTGGGCAACGGGATGGGTGCGACTGCTGCAGTCACCTCTACTGGGTGGAAGAGCTTGATCAGCATGATGTCATAATCCAGAGTCTGGTAGTCATAACTGCACACAGAGGAATATAAAATAAGCTTTAGACTTTGGCTGTTTCTCTGCACTGAATGAATGAATCAGAACTTCATGAAATCATGCAAAGAGAAAGACAGGTTCATTTTTTCACTCACCTAGGGTGCCAGATGATGGTATTGGTCTTCATGAGCTGCTCAGTACCCTCAAACACTCGCACATCGTGTTCTCCCAGCATGATCTGCATGTAATAGGGACTGAGAAAGAAGGTGAAATATACTAGAAAAATGTGGAAGCTGAAAACATCATTCTAAGTCTTAATCTCCTTCGTCTATTTTGCAAAGATTGCACTATTTTAATTTTTCCACTTAACAGATGTCCTCCACATATGGCCCTAGATTGAAAAGCATTAGTCTTCCAAATACAAATGTTTTTGTATTGTTTTTAATCTCAAATGCGAAAAAAAAACTAGCAAGACAAGTGGTAAAAAAATAGATATAACTTGGCAACAAGAGATGCATATAATATTTAAAGGCAATCTGTCTTCTAATAATGCACACTTACTTGTACCAACAGTGGGCAACGGAGAGCACCCACTGTGTGTTGATGAGAACCCCACCACAAAAGTGGTAACCATAGTTGAGGGAGGCCATGAATGGACGAGAGTGAGGCTCACAGTCCTGCCCGCCAATGATCCTGCCATCTTCGCGGGGAACTGCAGCTGTTACACACACACAATCACACAGAAGAAGAAGAAGTAAGAAGAAATCGCTGATACATTACAGTGCACATATATGGCTGTGTGCTCTCGTATATGTAAGTCTATTTCTGTGTCTTTACCAGCAGCTCCAACCATCAGCAGCAAAGCCAGCAGACTCATGGTGTCAGGTGAATGATCAGAAGACACCTGGAAACACCCTAGCTTATATTTATATCCAGCCAGGCCCACTGTGCTCAGCCGGTTGCCCCCCCCCCCTTCTTTCTTTCCTCTTTCTGTTGACCCTATGTGTGTCCTCACACTCTGTTCCTTCGTCTTGTCAACTCCAAATCATTTCATGTTTGCCCACTTCTGCCCTGCACACCCCCTGTGGTTATCTCATCTGTGCACCTCATTACAAATGTGGACCAAGGTCTCCACACATTTAACACCTGTTTATAGTTCTTTCATGGGTCACTCATTGTTGGCAAGCTACAGTATACAAACCTTCTGGTAGCCTTGGCCCAATATGTACGCTCTGATGAAGGTCAGATAGACCAAAAGCTTGCTAAATAAAGTGATATATTGCAGGGATCTAAGTGTGCAGAAATATTTAATATCAGGCTTGGCTCAATATGAAAGGCGAGGAAGAACAAAATTATAGTAATAATGACCTAGAGACTCTATCAGCAGACATTTTATGAATCATAGTTTTAGTTTAAAAAAAAGACCAAAATACATAAAAGCGCTGTTTTAAAGCTCCGCTATTGGTTGCCCTTGAATAAAAAGCCAAGACAGGTGAGAAAGAAATAATGGTCTCAGGAGCAGAAAACAAAAAAAAATGTATACTGTATAGTTTTTTGTTTCTCTGTCAGATAGAAATCAATAGCCTTTAAGCCATTTTGAGTGCAGATGCAAGTCAAGTCAATTGTATTTATATAGCCCAATATCACAAATCACAATTTGCCACAATTTTGCCTTAGAGCCTCGATTCGGATAGGACAAAAGTCCCTAAAAAAAGGATGAAATCATTCTGTTCTATTGTATTAAAGCAATGTGTAATGTGTACAATATGGCTTGTTACAATAATTCATTGTGGTGTCTGCTGAAAAGGGAATTACACCTGCATCATCCATAAAAAGAGAATAGACACATTTATTTAGGTGCAAAAAATCTATGAAATTATCTATCAAAAACAGAGTGCACCAACACCAACACTCTCCAAGGCTGAAAACATGTAAGATGTGGCTCACTTATTAACTGAAAGGATAAACGTGGAAAACAAGAAGATAAGGTTATTTTTCTGGGCACGGATTGGGCCAGGAGAAGTGGACAGAGATTAGTTGGGGGTTTGTGTGGGTGGTTAAAACTGGGTGGAGGTGTGGAGGTGTGGAGGGGGGAGGTGGTGAATGGAAAGAATCAGAGGAGTTTAGGTATAAATGCAGTGAGTGACAGATTATTCTCGTCCAGTCTGGTCGTAGGAAGGTTTGAGTCAGCCACAAGATGATTGGCCTGATTGTTCTCACACTCCTGGGAGCTGCAGGTAAAACACATCTCAGATCTTAGGTATTAGGGTAAAAGAATTAATTGTAACTACGATAAATATGAAGATTTTGTATTTCCTTCACACCACAGCTGCAGCCCCTACGGACGACAGGATTGTGGGTGGCTACCAGTGTGAAGCCCACTCACAACCCTGGCAGGTGTCTCTCAACATTGGCTACCACTACTGCGGCGGCTCCCTCATCAATGACCAGTGGATCATCTCTGCTGCCCACTGCTGGCAAAAGTTTGTATTACATTAATGCATTAAAAAGTTTCTGTATGAACTGTCTGTTTAAGAGAGTTATGATAATTTTGTTGTTTGGCTTTTTTCTTTAGCCCCTTTTCACAGATTGCCATTTTGGGTGACAACCACATCTGGATGAACGAGGGCACGGAGCAGTTTATGTCAGTGGATGCCATCTACTGGCATCAGAGTTACGACTACCAGACCCTGGACTACGACATCATGCTGATGAGGCTGGCACACCCCGCCACTGTGAACCAGTACGTCAAGCCTGTTGCCCTGCCCACTGCTTGCCCTACACCTGGGGACATGTGCACGGTGTCCGGATGGGGGAACATCTACACTGATCAAGGTGAGACGCACCTGATCTTGACATTAAAAGTCGTCAAATCATTTTGCTCATCATAACAGAATATTTATGATGTTCTGCTGTTTCTTGATGTTTTTCTTGAGATCACCAGAAGAAACAAAATACAATGAATTATTGCACTCATGGCCTTCCATAGAGTTTAACACATTTTAACAAAAGCCTTTGATAAACTACTAAGTACTGATATCCATTCATACTAGAAATGAGAAACAGAGTTTCCCAGTGTGTTTTTGTAGAAATGGACCAACTCACCCGGAACAAAGACCACCATAGCTACTATCATAAAGCGCTTTGAGTGGTCGGAAGACTAGAAAGGCGCTATACAAGTACAGGTCCATTTACCATTTACCATAAAAAGGATCAAACTTTTATGAAATAAAACATTAACATTACATTACATTAACATTATATTTAAAGACTGGGGCTATTGTTTAGGCCGACATCTACAAACTATTAATTAATCATGAGATTCAAAAAGATATCAGTGGATTTTCCTTGAAAGATTTCCCAAATATATTTTTGTGAGTGTGAACACTATATATAAAATTTACTAGAAACCATGGATGCAAAACTAGAAAAAAAAAAAATTAGCTTGAATATGTTTCTCTAATGTTGTGCCAAATGATGTCCAAGTACTGTAAGATAAAAACTTCATTTGAAAGCTCACTTTTGTTTGATGGCTGACAGATTTCCCCAACTAGATTCCATTCTAAAGCCTGTTTAAATCCAATACACCATTTGTGCAATGACACATAGCAGACTCGAACCCAATAGCACGACCCACCAACAGTCAGAGTTGAGTAAAAGGTCTTGTTGGCTTTATTCCAAAAACAGGTAAGAGTCAAAACCAGGAGATCAATCAGAAAAGGCAGGCGAAGAATCATCAATCATCAATCAGGCATCGGTAAAGGCAGTACCAGAAAACTAATGCTACAAAGCCAGACCACATGCCAACTAGACAATCTCGTGCAGCACTAGTGCAACTAAAATATATGGTGCTGGGCTGATAAGGGGAAATGGGAAGCAGGTGAATGAGTGGGAGGGGAAGGTCAGGTGTGGGTAATGCAGGACAGGAATCTGGACTGACATGAGTTAGTACGTGACAGAACCAATGAGGAAATAAACAGAATTAACATTTTGAGCTGGCTAGAGTTGTGACAATTAGACTAAGTGGGCTAAAGGGGGCTTAGCCCCCTCAGTTGTATGTTTTGCCCCCTCTGTTTCTGCTTTATATCTTTAAAAAATCAGCAAAAACAACAAAATGATTGGCTGATGTACATGTTACTATCGACCGCACTGTCCATAGTACTGAAGAGGAGTGGAAGAGATCAGTAGACGGACAGAACACATCACTGGATTTTTCACCTGCTTGATTTTTGTGGTTATAAATATAACTTTTTCCAATTCTAACATTATAGCAATCTACAAACAGAAGGAAGTGAAGGGACAGTCAGCTTTTAACTGCTTTTGTCCATAAATAAAAAAAATATTTAGCGCTGTGCCAGTGATACATTCTTATGTGAGTGCTCTGATTAATAATGTATTATTTCATTTTTAAACTGTAGCCTTATGTTGTTGTTATTTAGCTTTTCTGAAACAACTGTTAATATTTCATTGTTATATCAATACATATCCTAGTAGGGTCTATCAACTGCACCTAAGCCAGTGTAGCATAAGATAATGCTAACAACTGAATTGCTTGAAATCTTTGGTCCCAGCTGACTTCATTTTGCTCTAACGTTTTTGGTTTTGGAAAGGTGATTGAAAAAAACACCACCATCCCCTTTAATACCAGAGTATTTTCCTTACTAGAGTCCCATGCAAGCAGTTTAAACAAGCCAGAGCTTGACAGACTTGTCATAACTAGTTATGGTTGCTAAGCTATGATTGGACAATCATTATTCAAGGCTGGGAACAGTCAACTATACTAACTGATATTTTATCTTATCTGCAGTGTTCAACCCATTTTACCTTCAGTGTGTGGAGGTCCCCATTCTGTCTAACAAGGACTGTGAAAATTCCTACCCTGGCATGATCACTGACCGCATGGTGTGCGCTGGATACCTGGAGGGAGGCAAGGACGCTTGTCAGGTATTTCCACACAATTACACAGCACATAAAATAGATTGGTGCTCTGTGAACATTTAAACATTTAATGAGATGAGATGATGGACTGAATAAACTCTTTTCTTCTTCCTCTTTCTCTTCTCTGCTCAGGGTGACTCTGGTGGTCCTCTGGTGTGTAACGGGGAGCTGCAGGGTATTGTCTCTTGGGGACAGGGCTGCGCTCAGCCGAACTTCCCGGGCGTTTACACCAAAGTCTGCTCTCTGCTGCCCTGGATCAACGATATTCTCTCCAGATACAGTTAGGCTGTGATCTCCTATCACAGAACTACATGAGAGAGGGGAAATCAGAGAGAGATTAAAATTGAAGGAGACAGAGACAGGAGGTGGTGGTGGGTAGTGTCAGAAGGAAAAGCAGCAGGAGAGTGGCTGAGGGAGAGCCACAAGGAGAAACGGTGGGAGAAATAGAGAAAAAGAGATGTGAAATGTCTTTAGTCAGGGCACAATCAATAAAATCTATCATTTTGTGATGCATCAGTGTGTTTGTTATTGTTGACAATACTGTAGTGCAGATGCTCTTGGGCGATAATGTTACTGTAAGAATTTTCTAAATACTTATTTCAATTCAATTCAGACATTTCCACCAAAACAAAAACAGTCAAACAATTATAGCAAATGTCAGCTTGCAAAATAACTTTCTCTTTGACCCATATTACACACAAACTAACACAAACTTTTACTTTAATCGATTAATGAAAGCTCTTGCAAACCTGCATAAGGAGTGCATTGTCAGTCTTTTAGTTTTCTTGGAGTACATGAACATTTGCCTCATTTGGATTTTCTGTCTCCCAAGTGCAAAATGCTTTATACACCTGGAAAGGAAGGTCACAGATGTTGCAACAGCCCATTTATCAATGTCAGCATACTACAAGAATCCAAAAAGGAGTTTGAATTCCATTTAAATTTTTTCAATAAGTTCTATTCAGTACTGACTCCTTGCCTTAGCAAATCTCTGGTGGCAGAGAAACTCAAAGAAAAGAACCACAGTCTTTCTCATAATCTCTGTCATAAG